CAGTGACACAGGAGGTTTTGGGGATATTTTTTAAATCTGGTTTGTTTGTTTAGTCTCTTTTTTTAGGAAATTCTATGTCGTTTCTGAAGTATGCCTTCCGTTTTGCTCTCTGCCCAGCAACACTTGACTCAGCACTTCCTGGTATTAAATGACTCACTGCTGATGGCAAGTGTAAAATGGCATTTCATTCTCGTCTTAAATTACTCATTACAGACAAGTAATTTCAGTATATTTTTTTAAATCGTATTTATTACAATTTTGAGGGGGTTACAGATTCATGTGGGTATGGGTTTAGCATGGAGCCAGAAAGGTGGTTGGTACACGGTGCTTCAGTTTTTCTTTTCACTGCTTGGGATTGGGGGATGTGCCCTCTTTGCTGTGAGACTTCATCACCTTGGATGGAGGCAGTCATTTGATAAATGTCTCTAAGAGACCCTAATGAACAATAGTGTTCCAAGAATGTTACTTGAATGGGCCTGATTGTTCTGAGAAGATGTTGACCTCATTGAATCAGAGGTGGCATTCTTTCTAAGATGTGTTAGCTATCCTTGCCTACCTCTATGTGCCCACACACCTATGTGCTTATTATAGAGTCTGACCTGGAGTTTTGTTCAACTTGTTTTTCTTTCCATACTTGAAGAGATACTTGAAGTCTTCTGTTGACTCAGATGAGTTAGCTGTGTGCATCTGGATATGCCCTCCATACTTCACAAGGGTCAGCAACTGAGTTGGCCCAGTCCTGAACATGTGCTGCAGGATCAGACTTCATATCTGTGTGATTTTCCCTGAGGTCAGGGATAGGCTACAGATTATAGTAGTCTTGTTGGGGAGTTACCTAAGAGGCCTGGGAATTCCTCAGACCTTGCTGTCACATGTGCCAGTGAATGGTGCAGCCCCATTCACTCCCAGCCCTTTGTGTGTACCTCCCAGTGCTGTGACCTAGTCAGGATGACCACACAGAATCCTTCCTAGGCCCATGTCCAGATCTAGCACTTACCCAACCTGCTCCCAGCCCCAGCTGTCAGTGATGGGTACTTTGGCCTACCTCATCCCAGCCTGTCCTTTGACTGGCTTTTTCATGTGCCAGAGGGTGCAGCAGTCTAGTTGAGTCAAGCCCCAAAATCTCTTACCAGATCCACCCCCAAATGCAGTTCTTGCAAGCAACTTGAAGTAGTGCGATTTAACCTTGCCTGTTCCACCCACAGCCCCAGCCCTCAAGTGTGCCTGTCAGTTCGTTGACATGATGCAGGCAGTCCTTTCAGGTTCCTTCGTCTAAAACCTCTCAGTTACATGCAGGTGCAGGAAGTTGTTCCTTGATCCCTTAGAAATTATTTTTTACATGTCAAAGTAGCCCACCGTGGCCCCATTCCAATTTGTCCACAGTCCTCCAGCCCTGGCCAGTGCTATAAAGGCAGCTGTGCTGGTATACTAGTATATTTAACATAGAGTTGGCATTAACCAGGCCCAGAATGCAAACGAGCTATTGGCTGCTTTCTCCCAGCAGTTTGCCACATCTGGAGAGTATGTTTTCCAATTAATTAGTCATATGTACATCTATAAAATAGTCACTTTTTTTTTTTAAGATTTATTTTTATTATTTTTTCATTGGAAAGGCAGATATAGAGAGAGGAGAGACAGAGAGGAAGATCTTCCATCCGATGATTCACTCCCCAAGTGAGTGCAACAGGCCGATGCTATGCCGGTCCGAAGCCAGGAGCCTCTTCCGGTTCTCCCACGCGGGTGCAGGGTCCCAAAGCTTTGGGCCGTCCTCGACTGCTTTCCCAGGCCACAGGCAGGGAGCTGGAAGGGAAGCGGGGCTGCCGGGATTAGAACCGGCGCCCATATGGGATCCCGGGCGTGCAAGGCGAGGACCTTTAACCACTTGCACCACCGCGCCGGGCCCAAAATAGTCACTTTTTTAAAAAGGCTTTTTTTTATTTATATTGAAAAGTCAGATACACAGGGAAGAGGAAAAACAGAAAACTCTTCCGTCCACTGATTCACTCCCTAAGTGACTGCAACAGCCGGAGCTGAGTCAATATGGAGCAAGGAGCCAGGAGCCTCCCCTACGTCCCCCATGTGGGTGCAGGGTCCAACAGCTTGGGCCATCCTTGACTGCTTTCCCATACGACAGGCAGGCAGCTGGAAGGGAAGTAGGGCCACCAAGATACAAACTATTGCCCACAAGGGAACCAGACGTGTGCAAGGCAAGGACTTTAGTTGTTAGGCTATAGCGCTGGGCCCAATAGTAACTTTTTTTTCATGCTTACTTTACCGTGGAATTTTTCTTTAAAAATATACGTATTAGGGCCCGGCACGATGGCACAATGGTTAAGGTCCTCGCCTTGCATGCCCGGGATCCCATATGGACACCGGTTCTAGTCCCGGTGGCCCCGCTTCCCTTCCAGCTCCCTGCCTGTGGCCTGGGAAAGCAGTCAAGGACAGCCCAAAGCTTTGGGACCCTGCACCCGCGTGGGAGACCTGGAAGAGGCTCCTGGCTTCGGATCGGCATAGCATTGGCTGTTGCGCTCACTTGGGGAGTGAATCATCGGATGGAAGATCTTCCTCTCTGTCTCTCCTCTCTGTATATCTGCCTTTCCAATAAAAATAAAATAAATCTTTAAAAATATATATATATACGTATTAGTCTTTTTAATATTCATTTATTTATTTACTTATTTGAAATGTAGAGTTAAAGAAAAGGAATGAGATTTTCCATTCGGTGGTTCATTTTCCAAATGCCTGCAGTGAGGTCAGCCAGTTCTAGGCCCAGCATTTATGGTCTCCCTTGTGTTTGCAAGGTCCCATGGATTTGGTTGGGTTTTTTTTTTTTTTTTTTTCCCAATTTATTACATTGCATTATGTGATACAGCTTTTTAGGTACTGGAATTTCCCCCTCTCCTCCCCAATCCTCCCCCCATGATGGATTCCTCCACCTTGTTGCATGCCCACAGTTCAAGTTCAGTTGAGATTCCTTCCCTGTGAGCCTATACCTAGCATAGAGTTCAGCATCTCATCTTCTAGATAAGTTCAACAGTTTCTTGGGGAGACCCTCTCTGGTCCAGTGTCAGAGCCAACAAAGTAAAATCCCGGTCAGTTACAAGCCCCAACATAACATCAGCAACAATATACAATATTGTGGACCTGACATAGTATCGAGTTCTTAACCACATCCTGTGACTACTTCGATGACATTTCAACAGTTGAGGTGCGAAACAGTTTAGGAGGGGAATGCAGAGGAATTCTCATTACCTTCTTGAGGAGTACTTAATCTTCGTGTCCTCCGTAGTGAAGTGTGTGTGAGTTTATTGTCATCAGGCTTTGTTTTTTGTTCTCTGCCTATCTATTCTAACTTGTGTGTGTGTTTGGAGGGGGTGCTCTGGAGCAACCCCAATGGTCATTGCAGAGAGGGTGAGGACCCAAAGCTGGAACCAAGCAAGGGCTAGAGAAAGCTCCTCTCCCCAATTCCGAAGGAGGTTTACTGTTCTGGTTCTCAGGACCACTCAGGGTTCCTGTCTTGTTCCGGTGGCTCTCAGTCCCATGATGAAGGGCTCGGGCTTCTTCCATCCCATATGGTAGGTCCGGAGGGCGGGGGGGGGAATGTCCTCTGAGTTCTTGGCCTCCGAAGGCATTCCAGTTCCCCGTGGTCTCTTTGGCAGTTGGAATGCAGTCCTTGGTGCCCGTATTGTCAGTCCTTGGTGGGGATCCATGAGTCTCCAGGGTTGGGACACAAGCCTCCTCCTGTTCACCTGCTCCACTCTGGGTGCCTCCCCTGCTCTCTGCAAGTGACCACCTGTTAATAGGTTGCTAGGATCACTTTTGATTTCCCCCTGTATGTCTTTGTGTTGTTACTATTGTCTAATTCTCTTTTGAGTTTATTCTCTGTAGGTTACCTGCCTTATTCCTGATAGGTTACACTACATGAATTCCTCACACCTTCAAGGGGAATGGAAGACTTAGGATTTGGGTATTTTTTTCTTTCAGCATAATCCCTTCAATCTAACTTTCTTGGTTGACTATGTTGGTTTTGTTACAATATTGAAGGGAAATAGTAATGCAGGCATCCTCACCTTACTAGGTGGCATATCTTAGTGAACAATATCATTTGTAATTTTTTTTTAAAGAGTTATTTATTTTTATTGCAAAGTCAGATATATATAGAGGAACAGAGACAGGAAGATTTTTGTCTGATGATTCACTCCCCAAGTGACCACAACAGCCGGTGCTATGCCGATCCAAAGCCATCCTCGACTGCTTTCCCAGACCACAAGCAGGGAGCTGGATGGGAAGTGGAGCTGCCGGGATTAGAACCGGCGCCCATATGGAATCATGGCGCGTTCAAGGCGAGGACTTTAGCCGCTAGGCCATGATGCAGGTTCCTGTATTTGGGTTTTTATAGCACTCTTCTTGAGCATCAGAAACTTCTTTTTAGGATGTTATTATGGGTGACATTGAGTTTCACCAGACACTTGTAAAAGGGGGAGGGGCAGGCTGTTATATTCTGTTTGGAAGGTAGAATTAAAAAGAGAGATTGTTCATCTGCTGACACAGATGGCCACAACAACCAGAGCTGAATTGCTCTGAAGTCAGGAGCCAGGAAATACCTCCAGGCTTCTGAGAGGGTAGAGGAACCCAAGGCTTCGGGTCCTCCTCACACTGGCTCTCCAGTGCATCAGCCTTGGAAGTGGTGTAGCAGGGACTTAAACTGATGCTCACATACGATGCCAGCTTTGCAGTCACTGTGTTGTTTCTGTGTGCCACAACAGCTCCTTGAACCTGCTGTCTATTCCTGCCCTTTTCTAGTTAGGCCTTGGCCTGATTCCTAACACCATATTATTACTTATTTATTACAAGGTATGTTTTGTTTTATGTCTGAGTTTTTTCACTCCTGTGGTTATAAGATTCATGAATGTCGCTGTATGTTGGCTGCATTTCATATGCACTGAAGCTACATATAACACCAGTCTTTAATTTTTCCATGTGTAATAACTTATTTACAGAAGGAGCTGAAGAGGAGAAAATGGAAGTAGATACAGACAGCCAGCAGCCTGAGAAGGTAATGTCTGAATTGTCTCCCATCAGAAAAGCCACAGAGAACATGGGTTTAGAATGTAATTTGTTTAAAAAAAAAAAAAAGAATGTAGTTTGTTTTCTGTAAACCTTTTAAGCTTGCACGGGGGGTGGTATACGTAGTTTTATCAGCAACATGAACTTTGTTGATGTAATATACCATTCTCACAAAGTACCAGAAAGGACATTTTTAATTTGTTCTTGAAGATTCCTACATATCCTATCTCTGTGTATCTTTCAGGCATACAGTTGGGAATCTGGATGTGAAAATTACAGTTCCTGTAAATAGTGAATTACAGGGTTTAGTTGGTATGTTTGTGCTGAAAGAAAATTAGAGAATATGAAGTAGTTTTCTAGGAGGGTTCACAACTGGGAAGAGAATATTTAGAGAAGAATTAATTAAAAGCTGACACTTGAGACAAGTTTTACCATGCAAATGGAGTAACCAGAAGGTGAAAGTGGAGGGTAGATCATCAGATTCCAGTTGAGTGGGTAGAGACACTAAGACTAATATTTAGATGGTGTCAAAATGCACGTCTTTAGTGGTGGTCCAGTCCTGCTTTGCAAGAGACTATGCATGCAAAATGTATTAGAACAGGACTGTAAAACCTCATTACAGTTTTAACATCTCTCATGCTGTTAATAGCAGTCAGAGTCTGGTAGTAGGGGATGTTAACTAGAGATCTTTCCTCTGACTCACTCCCCCAAAATGCCCACAACAGCCAGAACTTGATCCAGTCTTTCTGTGTGGATGGTAGTGTCCTATGCACTTGATTCATTTTCTGATGCCTTCCCGGGCATATCAGATGAAATAGGAATTTGAAGGAGAAAAGTTTGTACTCAAACCAGTGCTGCAGTGTAAACTGGAAGCATCTCAAGTGGTAGCATGATTCAGTATGCCACAGTACCAATACCTGCTTATTTCTTGTTTAGTTCTCCACAGGACCCTTTAATAGTGTATGTTGCCAAAAGTGGGGAGACAGGTGTTAGTCTAATATAACATCAAGTATAAGAGGATTGTTTTTTCTTTCTTCCACTTTTCCCCTGCCCTCTCCTTTTTTTTTTGTTACCCTTTCAGGTAGAAAGCAAAGTAGAAAATGAAGTGGATGATGCTGATAAAACACAAGATGGAGAAAATGAGAAGCATGATGAGAAGGAGCCCGACAGTGAAGTTAGTGAGGATACCAAATCAGGTAATCTGAAGCAACTCCTTCAGTTTTATTACCTAGAAGTGCAAAACGGCATACACTGCCAAGAAAGAGTAAACCTTCGCAGGTGGAGAATCGGGAGAGAAAAAGATAATGAACTGATGCCTGCCAACCATGAACTCTTCTTATAAAGGGCTCAAGATCCTGACATTTACAAAATTCCAGTCCCTGCTCCACCCCCAAAGGCAGGCTCATGGGGCACACGGACTCTTCCAGGGCCCTTGGCACAGAAGTCTGACCTGCTTACCAGCTTCTGTTCCGTGATATTGTAGTGACTGAAGAACTGGAGGAGAACCACAAAGCAGACTTTATGTTTGCTAGAAAACAGAAACATGCTGACTGAAAAATTCCAATCATGTGGTTCACACATTCAGAATAAGCCCAGATGTGATGTACTGACATACAAGATGTTTTTTGTTTAAGATTTATTGATTTTGGGCCCGGCGCGGTGGCGCAAGTGGTTAAAGGTCCTCGCCTTGCACGCCCGGGATCCCATATGGGCGCCGGTTCTAATCCCGGCAGCCCCGCTTCCCTTCCAGCTTCCTGCCTGTGGCCTGGGAAAGCAGTCGAGGATGGCCCAAAGCTTTGGGAACCTGCACCCACGTGGGAGACCCGGAAGAGGCTCCTGGCTTTGGATCGGCATAGTATCGACCCGTTGCACTCACTTGGGGAGTGAATCATCGGATGGAAGATCTTCCTCTCTGTCTCTCCTCTCTGTACATCTGCCTTTCCAATAACAAAATAATAAAAATAAATCTTTAAAAAAAAAAAGATTTATTGATTTTATTGATTTTATTGGAAATGCAGATTTACAGAGAGAAAGGCCTTCGATTTGCTGGTTCACTTCCCAAGTGGCCGTAACAGCCAGAGCTGAAACCAACTTGAAGCCAGGAACCAGGAACTGCTTCCTGATTTCCCACTTGAGTTTAAGGTCCCAAGACTGGGCCATCCTCTACTGCTTTCCCAGGCCACAAGCAGGGAGCTGGATGGGATGTGAAGCATCTGGGACAGGAATGGGTGCCTGTGTGGGATATTGGTACTGGCAGGCAGAGGATTAGCCTTTTGAGCCATTGCATGCTGGGCCCCCCCCCATTTGTTTTTTGTTTTTGTTTTTTAACAACAATAAATATGCATTTGAGTTTTGTTTAGCAGCTATATACCAAGCAGTACTGCTAATGTGCTTTCCTCTTTTCAGTGGTGTGTAGATGAATAAGTGGCTTGCCAGTTTCAGTGTCAGCTGCTAAAGTCTCCTCTCTATGCCTGTCTCCAAGGCTTGTGGAAGTTACTATGTTTTCAGCAACTCATTTCCTCCTTTCACTGGGATTTATTCTCTGAGAGACCAATGCATATGTCAATTCTGTTCAATTTTCTTTTCTGTTCTTTCCAAGGACACTATACATGAAACTTAGAGTAACCTTAAGATTACATTATGGAAAATATTTTCCAAATTGAAATAGACACAAAGCCTAGAAAAAATTGAACAAAATTCTTAAGATGAGGAAAATGTCAGTGAGATGTTTTCTGACTTCAGTCCTGGTTTGTCATAGGCAAAAAATTAAGACGGACAATGGGTTATTTAGATTGGGAATAATGATCATAAAGCTTTCTGATATTTTCAGATGAGAAGGAGACTGAAGAGAAGAAGGAACTCCCTGATGCGTGTAAAGAAAAAGAAAATGAGATTGGGAAGAAGAAAGTAGAACATGAGATTTCTGAAGGAAATGTTGCCACAGCTGCAGCAGCTGCTCTCGCCTCAGCTGCGACCAAAGCCAAGGTTTGCCCCAACAGCCATTTTGCAGTGCTCTCTGTAGCCATGAATGGTCGTATTGTTTTTAGTTAATTGGGAACATTTAGTATAAAGAGCCCTGCTCCCAGTAGGAGATAACTGTTTACTTGAATGGCATTTCTAGGTTAAGAATTTCACAAGGAAGGGGAAGATGACAGAAAGAGTACATCAAGTCCTGAGTGGTGACTCTCCTGGTTCTAATCAGCTGTATCATTTAGCTTGGGAAATCTACAGAGATCCAAGTCACACTTTTGCGTCTAAGGGATTGAGCCTTCATTTTGTTTTTTACTTGCTTAGGGAACTTGTCCTGGCCTGGACTGTTGCTGTGGTAACTTCTACCAGATTGAAATAGTTGTGATTTTTAAGACAAAGATTTATGTGCATACCTCACCCCACTGCTTTTACAGACTGAAAGGAATGAGGGTACCTAAAATAGCTCTTTTTTTTTTTTCCAATCTGCCAGCTTTTCTGGGGGTGGTTTCTTCTATTTATAACATAGTATCGGCTGTACAACATATTTAAGAAGACAAGAAAATGTTATTTTCCTCCACTTTGTGTTAATTTAGCATTTTAAGGCATTCCAAACATGCATATGTGAAGTTTAAAAAAATTCTTTTTCTTTTTCTCCCTTTCTACATCAAAAGCAGTTTCCTTCCTCAATAGGTCACCACCTTTCAAGAGGTTGTGATTACTAGAACATTCCTAAATGTTTTATCTCGAGCTGTTCTTGAATGTTTCGTGAAGATATTCTTTAGTGCTCTAAAAGATATTCTCTTGAAGCATTAAACTGCTGTGAATTTGCATGTTTGATTTGGATAGACCCTTAGAAAAGCCAACCAATTCACACCCAGTTTCAAGTGCCCACCATCTGCAAGGAGTAAGAGGGCACAGTACTGCTCCCCCAACCTGGTTTTAGAGTTCTCCTGTTCCATGTAAGGTTTCTGTTCTCTGCCACTCCCTACTTGCAGAGTTTTGAGGAACACTAGTGCTAGGGTAGATACAAGTTTGTTGTAGTTTCTCTTCATTGGAAACATCTGTTTGGCCAGGTTAGACTGTTTGGGTATCTCTTTGCCTATGAGCTGGCCAATCAGAGGTCTTGGAGACCTTAAGGATGTCTTGAGCATATACTCTCATTTTATAAATGAGAAGTTGAAGGCCAAAAGAGATTTTCTCTTGTCCCTTTCTTTTTTTTTTTTTTTTTTTTTTTCACTTTTCCTTGAAGTTTACCTTACTTAATGCAGTGACTTTCATACACTAACTCCCCCCCCCCCCCAAGTATACAACAGTCAGAAAACAACGTCACAGCACTACTCACAACAGAAGTGCATCTTTGTATTTCCATCCGGTTAGCATGCCCCTCCAGAGTAATTACTAGCCTATCATTTTAAAGTATTTTGTTTGATTTGTTTGGTTTGAAAAATAGAGTTACAGAAGTAAAAATGTATCCATGGATTTACCCTCTGAGATTACTAACAGCCAGGATTGGATTTGGTAAAGTCCTAAAACTCATCCGGGTCTCCCACCCAGGATTGCATAGATGAGCTTTGAGCAGTTGAGGTTTAAAATGGTGTGCTAGCCTGTCCTCTAACATCTTGAATTAGCCTCTCCTGTTTTTAACTATCTGTAAATGGAATTTTACAATATGATCATGATCAGAGATCTTAGGTCCACATCATTGGTGTGGTAGGTAAGCCTTTGCCTGTAGCACTGGTACCCCTTTTGGGCACCTATCTCAGATATTCCACTTCTTTTCCAGCTCCCTGCTAATGGCCTGGGGAAGCAGCATAGAGTGGCCCAAGTCCATGAATCCCTAACCCATAAAGGAGACCAAAAGAAGCTCCTGGTTTCTACCTGGAATAGCCCTGACTGTTGCAGCAATTTGGGGGAGTGGAGCAGACATCTCTGTGTCTCTCCCTTCTCTGTAAATTTGACTTTCAAGTAAAAAAAATAAATAGGAAATATGTCATTGAATAATTATAACCTCTTTGTTTCCCTTAGGTTAAAATTTGAAAATAATTTCATGCAATTTACCATTTATTTCATGGTTGGGCAGCTTTTTACTTCTCAAGTCTGCTTGTTTTCCTGTGTAGACCGATTATTTTGAATCTTGTCAGTTCCACTACAATAAATCCAGTTCGTTATCTTCAGTGAAAAGATTGGATATTTTGGACCCTCTCTGTAAGAGAGGGTCTTGCATTCTACCTTCTTGCTCTTTCCCCTGCATCCCACAGTGCTTGTATCTTTGCTGTGTTCAGACCACCTGAACCGCTTTCTTGGCTGCTTTGTTTTCCTGGGGCCACGTAGCTGGCCATCTGTACCACTTACTGCACAAACATGTGCCCATTACGCCCCAATGACCATCTCACAAGAGCTGATTGACTCCCTCACCCCAAAGAAGCTGCCCTTGGCCATTCCATGGAGTTTCAAAATGCTCCCAAAATGCTTTTGTGTTGCAAGTTGTTGAATTTTCACTGTTACCATCACTCTATTTGTAATAACTAGGAGCTTGCATCTTCAGTCCCCAGGTGCTTATGCTTTCCTCTGATTTGTGACAGTGGTAGCATTGCTTGGGATACATGAGCAGGCAACACATGGATTTGTTGATGCCATTTTTACAGCTGGATCTGCTACCTTTTACAGCATACATAATCATTTTCATGCTACAGGGTAATTGGAGAGTAAGGAATTCACTTAAATTACTGTAATTAGTATAACATATAGCCAATCCAAATTTCTCTTACTCTCATTTTGTCCTGTCTGTGAACAGCTTTGTTATTAGGAGTTCTCGCTGATAATTGTTTGTCTCACTCTGATCCAAAGTAGTAATTAGAGGCTCCAGATCTAGCTCCTAAACAGATAAAGTGGTGTTCTCTCTGGCTTCTCTCTCGATTCTCCATGTGGGAGACTTCCAGAGCTGTGAGTTGCTTCACCTAGAGGAGGAGTGAGTGGCTGCAAACAAGAGGGAGCATCATTGGTTAAATGTCCTGCATCCCTTCTGTCTGTCTGTATGCTTAGTCTTCAAGAGAAGGAAGGCCCTAGAGCTATTGCTTGAATAAACGAGCAACTTCAGAAACAATGTTTTCGTAAAACCAGCAATAAGTTCATTTATTCTAAGAACGCACATAGGAAATTTTCTGAAAATCACAATTTAAGGAGAGGGCAAACCACTTGATCTGTACTTGGTCTAAAATGACTGCAATACCTTGGTCCCTCTAGTGACTGAGTGAATGTTGGCTCTGGGGCAACAGGAAGACCTGACCCCCAGAAAATATTCCTTAACTCTTTCATTTGTATCTGAAAATCCTTCCTCATACGGGAAAGTTAACACTGTACACTAAACAGTATCCATTGATAATATATCTTTACTTGATCATATCACAAAGTAGGAGGAGAAGGAAGGGGGAAATGACCTCTTTTAACCATTTTGCAAACTATATTCCCTGTTCACTTAAGCTCTTACATAACTAAACACATACTGCGTCTGCTCAGTGCTTTGGCACCTCTGCCTTGTTGAAATTCACCCTGGTCCTCTTGCAACTGGATACTAATGTTTTAAAATATAATTGCTGTTCATTAAAAAGCTGAATCTCTGTTGTCTTTGTAGAGCAGTTTGGGTTTTTTGACCTTAGTCCTTAAGGGTTTTAGATGTCTTTGGAGGGAGAGGAGATTAGTTTATTTCAGAGTTACAAAGGGAGAAGGCGAAGGCAGGGGCGGATGGTTGCCAGCCTATTTAGATGTCATCTTCTCTAACTATCAGTATTTAGGAGAGTTCTCACTCCAATAATAGTTACAGAAAGAAGTTGAGAGGTGGGTGTATACATGTGAAAGAGAAAACAAGGTTGAAATGATCAGAAGCAAACACGATCATGCGGGCCTGGCGCGATGGCAGAAGTGGTCAAGGTCCTCGCCTTGCACCAGGATCCCATATGGGCGCTGGTTCTAATCCCGGCAGCCCTGCTTCCCATCCAGCTCCCAGCCTGTGGCCCGGGAAGGCAGTCAAGGACGGCCCAAAGCTTTGGGACCCTGCACCATGTGGGAGACCCGGAAGAGGCTCCTGGCTTCGGATCGGCATAGCATCTCGGTGGACGGAAGATCTTCCTCTTTGTCTCTCCTCTCTGTATATCCACCTTTCCAATAAAAAATAAAAATAAATCTTAAAAAAGCAGCTGAACCACAGCTCCATCCCTTAGCTAGGTTTTTTGAGAGTTCTGTGGCCTTGGACAGACCCTTTCAAGGTGGTATTTGTTACTTTATATTTTGAAATAACTGCAGATTCATAGAGGTTGCAAAAATAGTACAAAGCAAAAAAAAAAAAAGGAAAGTACAGAGCAGTCTCCTTTACCGTTACTACAGTGGTTTCCTTAAGCAGTGACATTTGGTAACTTATTTAACATTTTGTATTCACTAATCTATTATATTTATATATTTATAGCTTTGTATACTATATATAATTATATTTTCTCTATTATAAAAATAATAAAGATGTGCTTTATTCCTATTCAGTATTTATCCTAATGATTATACAATACTGTATTATGTTATCACAATTTCATTCACATTTTCACTATTTCCCTAAAAATGCTGGGATTTTACATTCCCTTTTCCAGTTCAGTGATCTTCCATTTCCTATATTTTATTGTAACTTATTTTTATTAGGATAGGGGCTTTTCAACAGTAGTCATGGCCAAGCAGTTAAGACGAGGGGCTTCTCATCTGTCAAGTGGAGAGTGGAATTCTTTTCTGGTTTTTTGTTTGTTTGTTTTTAAAGATTTATTTATTGGGCCTGGCGCATTAGCCTAGTGATTAAGTCTTCACCCTGCATGTGCTAGGATCCCATATGGATGTCAGTTTGTGTCCCAGCTGCTCCACTTTTCATTCAGCTCCCTTGCTGTGACCTGGGAAAGCAGTGGAGAAAAACTCAAAGCCTTGGGAGCCTGTACCCACATGGGGGACTTAAAAGAAGCTCCTGGCTCCTGGCTTCAGATCAGCTTAGCTCTGGCCATTGCAGCTACTTGGGAAGTGAACCATCAGACAGATGGTTCTTTCATCAGCCTTTCCAATAAAAATAATTTTTTAAAATTTATTTATTTTTATTGGAAAGACAGACATACCAAGAGGAGGAGAGACGGAGAGGAAGATCTTCCATCCGATGGTTCAAAAATAAATAATTTTTTTTTCTTTTTGGAAAGGCAGAAAAATCTTCTGTCTGCTGGTTCACTCCCGGGATGACCGTAACGGCCAAAGCTGAGCCAACTCAGAGCCAGGAGCCAAGAATTTCTTTTGGTCCTCCATCATGGCTGCAGGATCCTAAGGCTTTGGGCCATCATCTGTTGCTTCTGTCTTCCCAGTAGCAACTAGATGGGAAGTGGAGCAGCTGGGGTGTAAACTGGCACATATGGATCCCTGTGCTTAAAGGTGGAGGATTAGCCAGCCGAGCTGTCATGTCAGGCCCTCTTGGCCATCATGTTCCCAGACCACTCATAGGGAGCCTGATAAGAGTGGAGCATGCCTATGCCAGCATCACTGGTGGAAGCATTTACCTCCTGTTCCAAAATGCTGACTCCTCACCTTTCCTTTGAAGGATATTCTTGGTTGGTATACTGTTAAGGTTAGCAGTTATTTCTTTATAAACTAGAAAAGAGTGTTTTTTCAGGATTTAGATTGTACACTTTTTATTCTTAAATTTTTTTTCGTTAACATGTTATTTGCACATGTTTTATGGATAGAAATTTATCATTTAACATTTCAGTATGAATACAAAGTGCAATGACCAGATCAGGCCAGTATAACTATCCTTTTAGACACTGTTGTAGATTTTATTGTTTTCCATTTTTTTTTTTTTTAAATTGTATTTGAAAGACAGAGTGGCAGGCTGAGAGAAGAACTCTATTTTTATTTTTAGTTTCCTAAATCTATTTATAAGACGTAAGTTTAGAAAGTACAATTGTCCTCGCCTCGCACACACCGGGATTCCATATGGACGCCAGTTCTAATCCTGGCTACCGCGCTTCCCATCCAGCTCCCTGCTTGTGATCTGCGAAAGCAATTGAGGACGGCCCAAAGCCTTGGGACCCTGCACCCATGTGGGAGACCTGGAGGAGGTTCCTGGCTCCTGGCTTCGGATCGGCACAGCATCGGCCATTATGGTCACTTGGGGAGTGAATCATCGGGTGAAAGATCTTCCTCTCTGTCTCTCCTCATCTGTATATCCGCGCCTTTCTAATAAGAATAATAATAATAAAAGTGCAATTGTATTTTACCTGGAAGGCAGAAAAAGGAACAGACACATTTCAGAGATACGTTGCAGACAACTTTTCAAACTCTCCTTTAATTGTGTTTGTATTTGCTGAAGTTCCCCTTTTACATTTGATCTTAGTCAAATGACAGAGGAGCAGTGAAATTCTCCTTTTCCTAAGTTATCTTCTCTGTTTTATTTATTTATTGGAAAGTCAGATATATAGAGAGGAGGAGAGACAGAGAGGAAGATGTTCCGTCTAATGATTCATTCCCCACGTGGGCACAACAATCAGAAGCCAGGATCCAGGAACTTCTTCCGGGTCTCCCACATGGTGCAGGGTCCCAAAGCTTTGGGCCGTCCTTGACTGCTTTCCCAGGCCACAAGCAGGGAGCTGGATGGGAAGTGGAGCTGCCGGGATTAGAACCGGCACCCTTATGGAATCCTGGCACGTTCAAGGCGAGGACTTTAGCCGCCAGGCCATGCTGCTGGGCCCGTTTTCTTAAACTTAATAAAGTCCTTACCTGCCAACTCTGTTGTCTACCTTCTGAGGTTCTGTTTCTGATTGAATGCTGTATGTGTATAAAAGAGTAATAACACAGATGATAATGTATTCTTTGTATACAATTCCTCTTTCCCTTGTGTTGTACTTGAGAGGCAAATACTGAGTTAAAACTAAGTTAAACTAAATGTTAGGAGCCAGCACAATGCTACCTTTTGTGCCTCAGCTGCTCCACTTATAGTCTAGCTGTTTTCTTTGGTTTTTTAGATTCATTTATTATTTTTTATGGAAAGTCAGATTTACCAAGAGAAATGTCTTCAGTCTGCTGGTTCTCTTCCCAAGTGTGCAGTAGCCAGAGCTGAGCCAATCTGAAGCCAGGAGCCAAGAGCCTCATCTGAGTCTCCCACATGGATACAGAGTCCCAAACGTTGGGCCCTCCTCTACTGCTTTCCCAGGCCACAAGCAGGGAGCTAAAATGAAAAAGGAGCAGCCAGGACACAAACCAGAACCCATATGGGATCCCGAAGGATGTAAGGCAAGGATTTAGCCGCTAGACTATCACATTAGGACCCCAGTTTCCTGTTTATGGACTTGGCCAGCAGTGGAGGGTGGCTCAGATTCTTGGGACCCTGCACCTATATGTTCCTAGGAGAAAATCCCAGTTCTGTCTTGGCTCAACTCCACCCGTTGTAGCCATTTGGATGAGTAGCTAACGTGGGTTGTAATTTTTTTACTTTTTGTCATGATACAATGGTTTTAATTTTGATGACATCTGGATTAGCAATATGTTTCATTTTTTGCATTTGGTGTCTTATCTAAGATATCTTTGACTTAACTGAGGTACATTTAGATTTACTGTCTTTTAGGATTTTTATAGCATAAGCTGCTGTGTTTACTTATGGTCCATTAAGTTAATTTTTAAAGTGTAGTGTAGAGTCTCTATTCGTTCTTTGTTTGTATTTGGATATCAAATTGTCCCAGTGCCACTGCAGTCTTCCATTACCTGATACTTAGTTTTAACTTTTTTATTTATATCATGTACATAAATTTATTTATCACAAATATAAGTCCTATGGTACTATACAATAATAGCCTTAGAATTGCATAATACTTACATGTTTGGTTACATTGATGTAGCTCATTGTAGTTTTCGGAGGGAAAATGATCATTAACAGTCCTAAAACCTTCTCTTTGCCACCTTTTGCTTACGTTTTGAATGTTTGTGTAGATGGAGTTCCATAACCGTAAAACTACATTTTTCTTTTTCAGTTACATGAAACCTTATTTTTACGGTGTTCATGTGTTATAGCTCAGTTTAGCTCCCAGAAGTCTATATTAAACTCCTCCTGTATTTAGCTCCTTTAAATTCTGTAGGAAACACAGAGATCAGTAAGCAAGCCACTCTGTGCTGTTTCTTAAAAGTGGGGTAAAAGAAAGATGAATAAATAAATGTGACAGATACTATAAAAATGAATGCCAGGTTGAATTGGGTTTGTTGGAGAATTTTTGGATCGTGTGTTTAGAAGCTAGGATTGATCTCATACTGGTGACCTCAGCTTTGACTAGATAGAATGATGTAGCACCACGCCATATATGTTGCTCAGATGATAAGCAGTGTAAGTTGGCTTGGACTGGGGGGAGGAGGGAGTAGTGACAGTCTCCAGAGCAGCTTCCGACTGCTGCTTTATCAGTTTTTCCTCCTCTGGTTTTCATTTTGAACTAGAGGTGAACTATTACTCTCTTCTTCTCCACAAGTACACTGTTCACAGGAAGGGGAGAGGCTTTACATCTGGAATCAGGTACTGGATTCCCAGCTGTCTCCCTTTTGCTAACAAATTACTATGGAAGAAAGAACGATGAGGGGAGGCTCAAGGTATGTGGTGATGGGGTAGGAGGTAAGGAAATGCCCCCAGGTCACCTGCGTTCTCTTTGGATTCAGTAGCCCTCCTTGAGAATCTTACAAGGGAGTAGTTTACTAAGGCAATTTCCTTTAAAACTGTTGAATGTGAAGACCAGAATAGAAATGTAAAAGGACACAAGTTTACTCAACTACATGATGCCCTGAGCATGTTCTTAACTGTTCTTATGAAATACTAGCTCATATAATTTGAGTTAATTTTTTTATTGTTCTTACTTATCATCCATTTACTTATTTGCCCTTAGCACCTGGCTGCCGTGGAAGAGAGAAAGATCAAGTCCTTGGTAGCACTCCTGGTTGAGACACAGATGAAGAAATTAGAGATCAAACTTCGACATTTTGAGGAGCTGGAAACTATCATGGACAGAGAAAAAGAGGCTGTGAGTAGGGGATTACATAGTGGGTTTGTTACAAGTCATCCCTGACCACAAGCTGAGCAAATGGTCTACTCTGTCTCTGCAACTAACTTCTGTCATCTTTTTTCTCTTTGATATATTCCTTCAGAAGGCTTGTCAGCCAGTAGTGATAAATATAAGGAATTCTGTTCACTGTCTACAACCATCAACATTTCAGCTTTCTAAATCTGTTGGTCACATTTGGCTTCTTCACTTTTTAAGTATTAACTACTAGATATTTGAGAGACCTGAGTCAAATAGGTTTGTGATTGGCCCTGTCATTTCAGACCTGTGTGACACATTTTACCATGTCCCAGCACCAGGGATTTCTAGTAGAAGGGCTAAGAAAGGAATGGCTTTCTCTTGTCACCAACATCCTGGTGGATTTTTTTTTTTTTAAGATTTATTTATTGTTATTGGAAAGTCAGATATACAGAGAGGAGGAGAGACAGAGAAGAATTTCTTCTATTTGTTGATTCACTCAAGTGGCTGAAACAGCCAGAGCTGAGCCTGTGAAGCCAGGAGCCTGGAGCTTCTTCTGGCTCTCTCATGCAGGTACAGGGACCCAAGGCTTTGGGCTGTCCACGACTGCTTTTCCAGGCCTCAAGCAGGGAGCTGGGTGGGAAGCAGTCCTGCAGGGACACAAACCGGAGCCCATATGGGATCCCAGGACGTACAAGTTAGGAACTTTTACCACCAGACTATGGTGCTAGGCATCCTGGTGGGTTCTTGAACCATCAGATCCAAAGTAGTCAGTGCTTTCTTGTTTCTGAGTTCCACTCATAATTTGGAGGTCGAATCTCAGAATTCATATAAAATCCTTTTATAATAAGTGTACACAATGCTTTTAAGTTTATCAATTTCATGAGTGATTGATTTCTTGTCTGCTAGAGGGATGCTTGTAAATATTTACTGACCCCTGTTGTCTGCTAGACACTGTCAGACACATGCTGTGTTTTTTGGGGTTTTTTTTTTTTTTTTGTTCGTTTGTTTGTTTGTTTTCTCTCACAGCAGTCCTGTGTGAATGTCATTAGAAGGAGAAGTCATAGATTTCGTAAGTCTTAGGCAAGGAGAGGATGCTAGTGCTGTGTTAGAGAACAATTTCTTAATTGTAAGCAAAATGAATCTGAGATTTTTGAATTCTAATTGTTGTGAGCTTCTAAAGTGACCTCCAGCCGTCCTGCTTCCTTTTGTTTATACCATCCTCCACTGAAGCCTGTCTGCTATTTTCAGTCACTGAGATTTGGGGTTACTTCTAATAAATAAATAATACACATGAGCTTAATTTATTTTAGAGGCTAGGTACTGTCTAGTCCAACAAATTTGTTTGCCATAAATTCAGCTTATACCAAATGTTGCTTAAGGAAAGGAAGTCTGGCCACCAGAAGAATTTAAACAAAGCATCCTTGTTAGTAGGATAGAGCCAGTTTTTCCCAGCATTTTTCATGGTGCTGTATTATTCAGAGACTATCTTGTATTTTACTTTGTACAGTCTGATTAGAATTTTATCTTATTAGAGCAGTTTTAGCCTGGTACTTGAGATGTTGGTTAGTGACCCAGAACAATGGCCTAGTAGCTAAATCCTCAGCCTTGCGTGTCCAGGATCCCATATGGGCGCTAATTTGTGTCTTAGCTGCTCCACTTCCAGTTGAACTCTTGCTTGTAGCATGGGAGTACAGTAGAGGATAGCCCAAAACCTTGGGACCCTGTACCTGCGTGGGAGACCCAGAAGAAGTTCCTGGCTCCTGGCTTTGGATAGACCCAGCTGCAGCTATTATGGCCCCTTTGGGAGCAAAACAACAGGCAGAAGATACGTCTTTCTCTGTGTGTCTCTGTTTCTCTGTACATCTTCCTTTCCAATAAAAATAAATAAGTCTTACCAAAAAATATTGGTTAATATCCTTCCCCCCATATTCAATATTAAATAGCTAGGTTAATGTCCTAGTTATGCTCCCATTTCTGCCTTTGTGTTGAATGGTTCAAATACACATCCCTGGGACACTTGGACTGAGATCTGGTCTCCTGATTTGATCCAACTCTAGCCACTATGCCACTTGCGAGAATCAATCAGTAGATATGAAAAGAAAAAAAAAAAAAAAGAAATGAGCTGTTGTTAACCTCATTTTAACCCAGGGACTCAGATATGCATATTCTTTCATTCTCCAGTTACACATTTCTAAAGGTGAGGCCTCATCTACCACCTAGTTCTATCTGCTGCACATTGTGATTCATGTGGGTGTTCTTGCTCATCTTCATTCCATAAGCAATCCTAGGACTTTGTTTTTTTAAGATCTATAAACTTCTCTTTCAAATTCTTTACTTTTTAATGTTTACTTATTCATTTTTATTTGTTTGGACAGCAGAATGCCAGCACAAGTGATGTCCCGTATGCTGATTTAAATTCTAAATACCCATATCTGCTGGGGTTGGTCCAGGCTGAAGCCAGCAGCCAGGAGCTCCGTCTCGGTCTCCCACAAGGGTTGCCAGAACTCGAGTAATTGGGTCCTCAATTCTGCCCTTAAGACATGTTGCCAGTAAGCAACGCTGATAGCGAATGCAGAGGCTCAGGACTTGATCCCAGATGTCAAAAATGAGATGTAAACATTTCGTTTTGTTTACATAGCAGTGGATTTCAGAATTATTTATTTTTAGACTTAGAAAAATAAAGATGCCCAAATACTTGCCTACTTCAGATGAGTTAGGGAGCTAGATCAGGTCAGAGAAAGTAATCCAGACCCAAACCGACGCTCTGACAAAGGATCCTGACCTCACAAGCTACAGCTTAACGTGCTGCACCATGACTTTGAGGCCAGTAAGAATGAATCTGTGACCTGACCCACTTTATAACTTCTGAAGTAGATACTGAATATCTGAAGTATGTTTAGTGAAGTACAAAAATTGCATCCTTCAGAGAAAGAGATCAGTTAGCAAACTCAAAGCAGTAAATAACCCACACCGCCCACTTGAGGAGGTTAGAGTGGGTGAGACACATACAAATAGTGAATATCTGAAAATTCAAGGAGGTGGTTGTGGTCAGCGCAAAAGAGAAGGGATTGATCCAGTTTGTGAAAATGGCCCAAATCATGGGCCGTGAAAAACATGTAAGTAAAGTCACTTCTTTCTGCGCACCTAGGGTGTTCTAGTCTTGTAGGTACTAGGGGTACTGGAATGATTAAAATTCAGATTCTCTGCCTTGAACTATCTACAGAACTTCCAAGGAGCTACATGCCATGTGTATTTATGTATACACACATGCTGTGTGTGTTACAGGCTGGGACAAGTTTTGTGAGGTTAGAGATGAATAATTGAAGCAGATCTCCCTGAGAACCTGCCAGTTGCTCGGCAAGCACTGCAAGCAGCCAGGGCAAAGACCTGCGACCTGAGCCTGCCTGATATGATGAGGAACCGGGGATTCAGGGAAGTGAGGGCGAAGTCAGGGTATAGTAGGCAATGACTGTTGAACAAACTGTAGACACTGTAGGCCACCTCAGGGTATTCTACATGACTTTGAAATAATTGCAGTCTTAAAGGGAATACTGACGTAGTTTTCTTACAGTTTAGCAGGGGGTCAATCTGCTGTGTTCTACAGAGCACATTACAAGGCAGCAACGTCAAAATTGAGGAAACTGGTGAAGCATCTGTTGTGCTATGTGAAGTGGTGGCTGAGGTCAGGATCTGGAGGGATTCTGAAGGTAGAGCTAAGCGGATATTCTCATACATCATACACAGGTTCTAACAGATTGTTGTATTTCATGACAAGCTAAAGAAAAACAAGCAGAAGAAATGACTCATACTGTCCTGTAGAACTTTATTTGATATTCTGTTCCTTGTCATATAATTAAATCTACTGTTGGGCATATACCACTGCATTATAGATATTGAGAATTAGAAAGCGAGACCATAGGACCACTGCCATGGTGTAGTGGGTTGGGCCTCTGCCCACAGTGCCGGTATCACATATGGGTGCCAGACCAAGTCCCACTGCTCTACTTTACAATCCTGCTTCTTCCCATTGGCCCGGGAAGACAGTAGAGAATGGCTCAAATCCTTGGACCCCTACACCCATGTGGGAGACATAAAAAGCTCCATGCTCCTGGCATTGGACCAGCCCCGCTCTGGCTATTGTGGCCATTTCAGGAGTGAAACAACAGATGGAAGATCTTTTTCTCTGTATCTCTCTTCTGTAATCTGCCTTTCAGATTTTTTTTTTTAAAAGATGTTTAAAAAGGAAAAAAGCCTGGTGCGGTACCCTGGTGGCTAAAGTCCTGGCCTCACTTGCGGCAGGAATCTGTATGGGCACTGGTTCATATCCTAGCTGCTCCACTTGCCTTACAGCTCCTTGCTTGTTGCCTGGGAAAGCAGTCAAGGACGGCCTTGGGACCCTGCTGCACCCATGGGACCCTGTGGGAGACCTGGAAAAAGCTCCTGGCTCCTGGTTTCAGATTGGCTCAGCTCCAACTGTTGGGACCACTTGTGGGGTGAACCAGCAGGAAGTCTTTGTCCTTCTCTCTGTAAATCTGACTTTCTAATTTAAAAAAAAATAACAAGCAGTCCCATGGTCTCATGAAAAAGGATAAAGTGGCCAGCCACAATCATTATGCTGTTGTATTTACTCTACCACTAAAACAGATTGTCACATTCACCAGTGACAATCACAACAAAATGTTATTATAAAGGAGAGGCAAGGCAACCAACTGACCGACTGGGACCAACACATTTTATCCGAGTGCAGCCCCCAAATGGCACATTCACAGGATTTTTATAGGGGCAGTTCACAACAGCTCCAAAGGGGCAATTTACAATAGCTTGTAGAGTGAGGGAGGAAAGACCACACATTCCTTGTTCATCTCGCCTGGACAGCGCCTGTCTGGCTCACCTCAGGTGCAGGCACTGGTCACATAGGCTATTAAGCCTATAAGCTCACATAGTCTCTTAGCCAAGTAAGTAAAGCAGAAGTTACAAAAGTGAAAAGTATTGCAGTTAGCAATGAGCCATGTTTATTCCATTTTGATTTCATCTCTACAGTGCTGGTTTTCCTTGGGATTTCTGCCACCACATGTGACTGTACCAGCACACAGCTGAGTTGAGTTGTGTGCTTTTCCTTAGGCGTAATAAGGAAATAAGGAGGAGAGTGGATGTGTGTTTTTTAGATTTGTTTTTTCTTCAGTAAATGTCTCATCAGTTACACGAAACACTGTGAGGGAAAGGTGTAACTGTTTTCTTTAGTTCTGAGGGCAAAGAGTCACAAGTTTCATGTCTGCAGATATTTCAGTTCCTGGCAGGGTAGAGGGTTTTTACAGCCCCACTATCTTCCCTTCGCCTCATATTCCTCCCATCCTCCGTACTTTATGCAAATGGAGTTGGGATAAGAGCTTTGTGTGAGTTCCAGCTGCACTTGCAGCTGTGTCTGCATTTGGTGTCTTAGCCTTGAAAAGTGCTCTGTTGTGTTGGGCTCCCTCAGGATGCGGCTGCTTTGTGCATACACTGAGAAGGAGGATATAAAGGCAGGATTTGAATGCAGTGGAGGAGGCCTTGGATTTCGGGGCACCAGGCAGTCTTGCTTGAAACTGCATATCCTAGAACCAGATTGGGGAGTCATAGAAGAAGTTAACAGTTCCATTAACACTTTATTTATATAAGTAATTTTCACTGTTTATTTTAGCTATTGAGATTTTCTCGCCGGTCCTAGTAGCCAGAGAAGGAGGAAGTACAGTCAAGATGTCTACAGCTGGTATCTGTACAGTTCATAGCAGTTTGTGAATTACAAAATACATAGTTTTCTAGGACAGATTTCCAGATGTCAAATCACTGGGTCAGTGTTCAGTTGCATTTAAAATATGCCTAATGCTACTAAAATTTTGCTCAGAGATTCCCCATTTCGTAGTCCTTGTACTGGACGGACACACACTCACTCACTCCAATTAGAATCAGTAAAATGAGATGGCCAGGACAGAAGAGCTCTTCCATTCCTTGAGGAGACTCGCTTGAGGCCTTCAACTCTTGCTTGTCTGTCAGGAACAGAGCTGATCCTCTTGAAGGAACCTGCTTGGCCCACATGGGAGTTTTAGGCTTAACACTTGGTTCTTGTTGAGGTGTGTTTAATCACCCTTTTTAATTCTTCTAATTACTTTGTTTTAATTACCTTCCATCTTTTAAAAAGAAGATGAAGCTTAGAAAATAGAAAGGACTCAAGAGGTTATGTCAGATTGTAGGCAAGGAAAGTTGGGCAAGTTTTCTTCCCAGTGGCTTTCTCATCCTTTTTTGTGATAGATTTTTAAAATGATTTTCCCAGAAATCATATCTTTTAAAAAAAAATCTTAAGATTTATTTATTTATATTAGAAAGGCATATATACAGAGAGGAGGCAAAACAGAGATTTTCTGTCCGATGTTTCACTCCCCAAGCGGCCGCAATGGCCAGAGCTGAGCCAATCTGAAGCTAAGAACCAGGAACTCTTCCAGGTCTCCCACGCAGGTGAGGGTCCCAAAGCTTTGGGCCATCCTCGACTTTTCCCAGGCCACAAGCAGGGAGCTGGATGGGAAGTGGAGCTGCCAGGATTAGAACTGGCACCCTTATGGGATCCCGGCGCGTTCAAGCCGAGGACTTTAACCACTTCACTATCACGCCGCCCCCCACCCCAGTAATTCTATCTTAATACTATGGTTAGCCATCAAAGAATTGCTAGTTTGGTTAAAAATAAGTAAATGAAACTACTGAGGTAGGTAATAGAGATACAAAAAATTCACTAAGACACATAGAAATCTTGTTCTACTAGCACTTCAGCTCCTTTATAAAGCAAAACTTGACCTAAATTCCACAGTTCTTATGTAACTGCAGGATTTTAGCCAGGCTGCCCAGAATAATAGTGACTCAACAGGAACCTAGGTAAGAGATCCCTGGCAACCTCTTCAGTCTAACCTCAGCAGGTTCTTAGATTCCTTGATTTCCTAGAAAGAGTGATTGGAAGGAAGCATGGGATCAGAAGGTTCCCCTTTTTGTCACTTTACCTCCTTAGACATCATCTCACAGATCAGTCTTCCTCAGAATGGAGAATTCTCTTGCTATTTATTTTGTGCAGCTGCGCTCAGAGGCTGACCAAATCAGCCTTCACTCTCTTCACATCCACTCTCACTCTAGGATGCCAGAGGGACCATTTCCCTTCCTGGTTCTTTCTGTGAATAACCCACAACCTCTCAAATTTGTTTTCAGAGAGCACCTTTTCCCCAAGGAGTCTATAAGGTGTGGCTGCAGAAATCATTTGTCCATTTGTCACCTTTTTCATCTACTGTCTTCCCCACTCTGGCATCTACTACCTTTTTTTTTTTTTTTTTTTTTTTTAATTGCGAAGTCAGATATACAGAGAAGGGGAGAGACAGAGGAAGATATTCCATCCTCTGACTCACTCCCCAAGTGACCACAAAGGCCAGAGTTGAGCCAGTCCGAAGCTAGGAGCCAGGAGTCTCTTCCAGGTCTCCCAAATGGGTGCAGGGTCCCGAAGCTTTGGGCTGTCCCAAAAAGATTATCTTGAACATTGGGTTGTTTATATTATTTAAAACCAAGATTTCTGCAATATTTTATTTAAGCAGCTAAAATATTCTGAATATATCAACTGGTATAATTTTGGTAACTTGAAAGCTAGAATTTGCTGAACCTCTTCCAAAATTCTGTGTGAGGAAATGCATATCTTTACAGTTAAGGCCATGTCACTTTGGCTCTGATATTATATTCTAAAATATAGTCAAAAGAATCACTTTCAGAAGAGAGTGCCAGGGCCCGGTGCCGTGGCCTATTGGAAAGAGTTCTCGCCTTGAACGCGCCTGGATTCCATATGGGCACTGGTTCTAGTCCTGGCAGCTCCACTTCCTATCCAGCTCCCTGCTTGTGGCCTGGGAAAGCAGTCGAGGACAGCCCAAAGCCTTGGGACCCTGCCACCCGTGTGGGAGACCTAGAGGAGGTTCCTGGCTCCTGGCTCCTGGCTCTGGATCAGCACAGCATCAGCTCTTGCGGCCGCATGGGGAATGAATCATTGGACAGAAGATCTTCCTCTCTGTACATCTGACTTTACAATTAAAAAAAAAGCATGCCTGGGGTAATTAAGTAGACTTGAAGTATTCGCATGTGAGGGAATGTTAAAATGTTAGGAGAGGCCATTTCAAGCTGTGGGAAGACAGACCATCACGGAGAGTCCTTTTTAAGTATCTAGTGGGCTTCTGGACAGACTATATGTGCCCTGAGTGGCCCAGAGATCAATAGGAGGTTACAAATACAAGTAGATCTTAGACTCAACTTGGAGAAGATCTGTGGTCATATGGAAGTATACCACTCAGTAAATAATGCCCCTTTCTTACCTGTGGACATCATAGGAGGTGAAGTGAACAGACACCCTCACATCCTGAGACTTCCTCTGGTGTCATTGCTCTGCTTTCCCCCTGTGTTACAGCTGGAACAGCAGAGGCAGCAGCTGCTTACTGAGCGCCAGAATTTCCACATGGAACAGCTGAAGTATGCCGAATTGCGTGCCCGACAGCAAATGGAGCAGCAGCAGCAGCATGGCCAGAACCCTCAGCAGGCACACCAGCACACAGGAGGACCAGGCCTGGCCCCACTTGGCACAGCAGCACACCCCGGCATGATGCCTCATCAGCAGCCTCCACCTTACCCTCTGATGCACCACCAAATGCCACCACCTCATCCACCCCAGCCAGGTGAGAAAGCTGTACTCCTGGGAAGGGCTTCTGAGGGCCAGAAACCTGTGTACTCCACTTCTAATGAAACTCCCTGCTAATATGCCTAAGAGAGTACTTGGGCTGCTGCTGTCCAAGGAGATCCAGGAGAGACCCCAGACTCCTAACTTCAGCCTGGCCCAACCCGGGCTATGGCAGCCATCTGGAGAGCTATCTGGAGATGGAAGGTTCTGTTCTGTTCTGTTGTTTCCTTTTTCTTCCTTCCTTTGTTTCTTTCTCTCCTTTCTATCTATCTGTCTGTCTATCTCTGTCTATTTATGTATAACTTCACCATTCAGATAAGTTTCTAGGCTGGCTAGCCTGGAAAAGCAGCAGAGGAGGACTCAAATTCTTGGGCTCTTGCACCCATTGAAAGAAGACCCAGAAGAAACTCCTGGCTCCTGACTTCTGATTGGCTCACTTCACCTATTGCAGCTTTTTGAGGAGCGAATCATCTGATGGAAGATCTGTATCCTCTCCATAAATCTGCCTTTCCAATAAAAATAAATAAATCTTTAACAGAAAAAAAAAGTAAAGAAACAGCATCCTTATACTAATGTAAGAGATCTGAAATTTTTTTTTAAGATATATTTGCTTTTATTGCAAAGTCAGATATACAGAGAAGAGGAGAGACACAGAGGAAAATCTTCCGTCCGATGACTCACTCCCTAAGTAAGCATAACAGCCGGTGCTGTGCTGTACAGAGCCAGGAGCCAGGAATCTCCTCTAGATCTCTCACATGAGTACAGGGTCCCAAGGCTTTGGGCTGTCCTCGACTACCTTTCCAGGCCACAAGCAGGGAACTGGATGGGAAGTGGAGCTGCTGGGATTAGAACTGGTGCCCATATGGGATCCTGGCACGTTCAAGGCGAGAACTTTAACCACTAGACCACTGTGCTGGGCCCAAGATCTGAATTTTGATCATAAAGATTTATTTATTTGAAAGGCAGAGTTAAATAAAAGGAGAGACAGAAAGAGGTTTTTCTCTTTGCTGGTTCACTCCACAGTTGATTGCTATGGCTGAGGCTGAGCCAGGCTGAAGCCAAGAGTTTCTCCCAGGTCTCCCAAGTAGGCACAAGGACCTAAGCACTTGGATTTTCCCAGTCCATTGGCAAGGAGAAATTGGAAGTCAGCAGCTGGGACTCAAATCAGTATTGATATGGAATACTGGCGGTTTAACTGGCTATGCCCCAAGACCTGCCATGTATGTTACTTCTTTTGTGTCTCCCATATGGATGCAGGGTCCCAAGGCTTTGGACTGTCTAGTTCACTCCCTAAATGCTTCACTGTCCACGACAAGGCCAAACTTCAGCTTGGAGTTTCATCAGAGTCTCCCATGTGGATGCAGTCGCCCAAGGACTTTGGCCATCTACTGCTTCTTCCTAGGGAGCTGAATCAGAAATGGAACAGCTAGGATTTGAACTAGGCTCCCATATGGGATGCCAGCATTGCTGGTGGCAGGTTAACTCTGCACCATAGTGCTATCCCCAGTCATGTATATGTATAAGTCAGATATACAGAGGAGGAGAGATAGGAAGATCTTCCGTCCGATGATTCACTCCCCAAGTGACAGCAACAGTCAGAGCTGAGCCAATCCAGAGCAAGGAGCCTCTTCCGGGTCTCCCACGTGGATGCAGAGTCCCAAGGCTGTGGGCTGTCCTCGACTGTTTTCAAGGCCACAAGCAGGGAGCTGGTTGGGAATTGGGGCTGCTGGGATTAGAACTGGCGCCCACATAATATCCTGACACGTGCACGATGAGGACTTTAGTTGCTGGGCCACTGAACTGGGCCCATGACTAAATTTTAAATTCAAACAAACAAGAAACCAGAATAGGTTGTTCCCAGGAAGTTTAGTTCTAGAGGTTTTTTATTTGGCCAGAATTTGAAAATTGTATTTATTAAAGATTTATTTATTTTTATTGCAAAGTCAGATATACAGAGAGGAAGATCTTCCATCCAATGATTCACTCCCCAAGTGAGCGCAACAGCCAATACTATGCCAGTCCGAAGCCGAGATCCAGAAACTTCTTCCAGGTCTCCGACATGGTTGCAGAATTCCAAGGCTTTGGGTCATCCTCAGCTGCTTTCCCAGGCCACAAGCAGAGAACTGGATTGGAAGTGGAGCTGCCAGGATTAGAAGCAGCACCCATATGGGATCCTGGCACATGCAAGATGAGAACTTTAGCTGCTAGGCTATCGAGATGGGCCCAGCTTTGTGTAATTTTTGTCTGAGTGACTATTTTTTAGTGGCCGTGCCCATTCATACAAAACAGCTAAATGCTGTGAATCTCCAGGCTAGCAGATAAGTACCGGCCTGGTCATCTGACTCGTGGATACCCACTAAACCTGTATGTTATTTCCATTGTGTTTAGTTTGTGCCTTTGCTATTCTTCATGTTGCTGTCTCTCATCGTTAAGTTATTCAGATTCTCAACATTTTTTGTGTATCAAGTACTGTCTGTAGGTCTCTTCATTTCATCTTACTTACTATTTGGCCCTACATGTTTTTTAATTATTAATTTATTTTTATTGCAAAGTCAGATATATAGAGAGAGGAGGAGAAACAGAGACCTATCTTCTTTCTAGTCATTCACTCCCCAATTGACTACAATGGCTGCAATGGCTGATGCTGTGCTGATCAGGAGCCAGGAGCTCTTCCGGGTCTCCCACATGGGTGGCAGGGTCCCAAGGCTTTGGGCTGTCATCGACTGCTTTCCCAGGTCACAAGCAGGGAGCTTGTGGGAAGCAGGGCTGCCAGGATTAGAACTGGCTCCCATATGGGATCCTGGCGCGTGCAAGCAAGGACTTTAGCTGCTTGCTGACTCAACTGAGAACTGTAGATTTGTAGGATTTTCCTGTATGTGATGAATTTGTTCCATTAAGCAAAAAGCCTGGGTCTGTGGTAAAATATTGTTAGTATATAGTTTCTGCCTGGAGACTTGGGTTCTCGGATCATGTTGAGGTCCTAGTGGTAAAATCCACAGTATTGTTTTTCAGCTCTTTCACTTGGACTGTAAAAGTGTATTGCATGACTTGTAGTTAAATACTTTCTATTGTTTGTGTACAGTTGCCATTCCTGATGATCCAAGCTGAGTAGTCTATTCTAGCATTCCTTGGCCACAGTGAGGTCCCTGGAGACCTTGAGAGAACATGGGACCGTCAACCAAATTGGCCTAGATAGTAGCAGCTGTTTCCTGAGCTGTGCTTTATTCTGCCTTCCCAAGCAGGGAAGGCTCTCGTGCTGCAGAGGGTCGCCTTACTGTACTGGTTAGTGCTCTAGGAACCTTGAAACATGTTTAAGGGAAGGTTTGTCATTGAATTGACATAAAAGCAAGTGACGTAACTCTGGTGTGGTAGCATGGTGGTGAGCTCTATAGTCCCTGGGTGTTTCTAATCAGCAAAGCATCTACCTCTAGAGCATGGATCCCACGTGAGCTGCCTGTAATGGCACACAATCTGTGTGTGAGAGGAACACAGGTTTTTAATATCTTTGTCGTTTCTTTCCTATAAATAGGTACATGAAAGTAGGATAGTTTGGATATCTGATATGGTGAAAATTCAGACATGATGAAATACTTGAATGATAAAATAGCAGCATTTTCTGTCAGTGAAAGGCAAGTTTAGGAGAATTTCAACCCAGGCGTTGCGTTCTTGGATCTTTAAGCCCCTCAGTTAAACCAACTTCCACAGCCCCACCATGGGAAACAGGGCTCAGGAAACGATTGCAGCCAGTCTTCACTTCCTAACCCACTGGCCAGACGCAGCCTCACTCTTAAAAGGAAGAAGGAATAGCCTGCTGCATCCGCCAAGTGTTTATTATCTGTGATGCTTCTGCTCGTGTTTGCATCATGTGATGACAAGGCTGCCATGCCACTTTCCGGAGTAGCAGGTTACCCTCGCAAAGAGAACAGTGAGGGCCCAGTGCTCAACAAAGAGCGTCTGTCCCGGGTGGCCCCCGGAAGCCGCCGTCTCGGGGGAGCCTGGGCTTCCCCTCGGTTGGCTCGGATTGTGCTACTTGAATTCTCTCAGGGCCCCAGCCAAAGGATGCACCAAAGACAGTTAGAAAAGTTGAAGAAATGTGCTCAAGACTGGAAATTCGGGTTTCCTTTTTCTAGAATCTGTTTCCCTTTCTTTCCTGAACTAAGGAATAAAAATAAAAGTTTTAATATATATTCCATTGGACATGATAAGGCATTAGTACAAGATCTGATAAACTCTGAGCAGCCAGCAGTTTTTTCTACTGACTAAACCTAATTTTAGCAAACCTTACCATTTTCATGTTTCAGTTGCCTGCCTTTGGCAGGGGTAGCAGGCGGGGGGGGAAGCGTATGTAGGTCAGACTCCCACCACTCTGCGTTTGGAGACTGCTTGGAAGCCACGTCTCGCTCACCTTTTTCCTCCCACTCTTAACGGAGGAAAAGCATACCTGCTTGCTTGCTTGCTTTTTTTTTTTTTTCCCTATGGGAAAGTATGTAACACCTTTCATTTTATTTGTTAAGACCTGCTTTTATGCATTTTGGGTTTATGTGATTCAGGTTTCTTAATGTTGTTGGATTAGTGGAAATGCCTTCAGACATTGTCATCCAGAAGTTGATAACTTTACTTAACACCACAAAACAACCAGGACGTTAAATTTCAAAAGGTATTACTTTGACGAGGTTGTCATTTTTTGAAGTCCTCTTCTTTAAACGAAAAAAAAAAAAAAAAAACTTATTCTATTTAAAAGGCAGAGACAGCCTGAGATCTGTCATTCACTGGTTCAGCTCCTCAAACTCCCTCAGCGACCGAAACTGGGCCAGCCTGACGCCAGGGACTAGAAACTCAATCCTGGTCTCCCATGTCAGTGGCTGGGATGCAAGTGTGTGAATCATCATCTGCTGCCACCCAAGGTGTGCATCAGCAGAAATCTGGATCAGGACCGAAGAACTACGACTCACAGATATCCCCAAGTGACAGCTTAGCTCCTGTTCCAAATGCTCAGACCCCCCTTTCCCCCGCCCCAGTCCTCAGTTCTGCTCTATTTTAGATGGATCTTTAGAAATCAGCACTTTTCAGGGGGATGATGCATCTTGAAAAAAAAGATGGAAGAAAGAAAAAGAATTGAGCCTCAGGATTTTACCTCCCTGTGCAGTATTCCCACCCTCCATGCCTGATGTCTAAGTCACTCATGCTGCAGACACCAACGCTGAGTATGCTGTATGCCAGCCATAACCTTTGGACAGCACAGGGACATCAGCCACTCTAAGTATACTCCTTTGTTTCTTCAAAGATGTTTTCCTGCAGGGAAATAGGAGTTATTGCTTGACCTTTTCAATGCTACCTCTTTCAGGGTATTGTCCTCTCATACCTTAGATACCTATATTCCAGTGACAGTAGCATAGGAAAATTTTTTCAGGCTCCTGAAATTTCCATTAAAAAAAAAAAAAAACATTGTGTAGCTATTGGACTTCTAGCCTTGGGAAACCCTGCAGCCCTGCAGCTGCTCTACTCTAGCTGATTGCCGTGAAGATATAGGGAAATAGGTAAATGAGCCATGGCCACTGAGCCAGGGAGTTTTGGTAGCAGAGCTGATGAGGCTGAGAACAGGAACCTGAGGGCTCAGGTCAGGCATAACCTTTTGAGTATGTTTCTTGAGTGGCTGTTTACTCTGCTGGAATACACTGGCTCAGAGAATTGTTTACGGGGCTGGGCACTAAGTAAGTCTGTGAGCTAGACACACACTGGAGCCAGTGTGACCCAGTCAGGTTTTGGTTCCCTCCTTTCCATACTTCTTGATGCCAGGTGACTTGTGCCAACCTTCTGTCCTCACCTTTGTTCTGGAGGGATGATAGTGCCTAGTTCATAGTGCTCCTGGGAATCAGCATCATTCCTGACTTGCTGAAGTCCTCTGTGGAGACTGGATTTGCCTGAAGGAGACAGCGTGTATCTGTTGATAGGACGTGGTCTACGTAACTTCCTGGCATCACAAGTACTTTTTTGCCTCGAGGCCTAGAACTCTAGTTAAGAGCTTCAGAAAGGGCTTCCTGTTCACATCTAAAACTCCTTCATGCTATAGAGGCGGACTTGAATGGTGACAAACCAAATTACTGGCAAATTGTAAAGTGTTAATACCAGATCTGTTCTACCAATACATGTTCTTATTCTGTGATCTCCTGTCATTAATTTGAAAATAATAGAGCTGTACTTTGTTGTCTCTTCACCCCTACCATATACCCTGTCACTCTCCTAGTCTACTGTTTCATGATGTGATCTATAGGGGAGGATTTTTTTAAAAAAATAAGATTTATTTATTTTTGTTGGAAAGACCCGATTTATAGAGAGAAGGAAGAGAGAAAGATCTTCCATGAGCTGATCTACTCACCAGGTAGCCACAACATCTGGAACTGAGCTGATCAGGACCCAGGAGCTTCTGTGTCTTTGATGCAGGTGCAGGGTCCCAAGGCTTTGAACCGTCCTCAACTGCTTTCCCAGGCCACAAGCAGGGAGCTGGAAAGGAAGTGGAGCAGTTGAGATGTGAACCAGTGTCCATATGGGATCCCAGCACATGTAAGGCTGCTGCACCAAGCCCAGGGAGAATGTTTTATGGAGAGGACTCTATTCTTTGTTTTCTTAAAAGGGAACACGCTCCCAATGACTGGTTTACTCCTCAAGTATCTACTGAAGCCAGGAGCTTCAAATACATTCCATGTCTCCCATGTGATTGGCAAAAAACTGAAGTACTTGAGCCATTACCTATGGTCTCCCAGTGTCTACATTAGCAGAAAGCTAGAGTTAGGGGCCATAATCAGATTGAACCAAGGTGCTTCTGTGTAGAACATGGGCATCTTGATCAATACAGAAACCCTTCCTCCTCACAGTCCCTTTTTAGTGGTGATTTCACAGTATTAATACCATGATCCTTTCAAACAGACCATCTCAACACCCATACACAAATCATTGTCTTCACTGAGTTGTGGTCCTGAGACTGTGCTCAGGCTTACACTCCCTGTGCTCAGGAACACACTTATTTAACCACTGCTCATCAAAACCAAGAGTGAGTGCTCTCTGTTAGGAATGTTGTGCTGGCTGTGCATGTTCCAGAGCTCAGGATAAACAGGTGCTCACAGACGTATCTCTGTTACCTCCTTCTAAATCTTGGAAAGTCAGGCAGAGTTTGTCAGAGGTTATTGTTCTTTTAGTGTTTTGGATCCTTTGAATGATTTGATCTGTTTTAGAAATCCTGGATATTTAATTACTGCCTTTCTAAAACCTCTTCCTACTAATGATACTTTAAATTTCCCTCTTACAGGTCAGATACCAGGCCCAGGTTCCATGATGCCTGGGCAGCCCATACCAGGCCGCATGATTCCCGCTGTGGGAGCCAACATCCATCCTTCTGGGGGTGGTCCTGCCCCCCCTGGTATGCCACCGATGCCAGGCAATATCTTAGGACCCCGGGTACCTCTTACAGCACCTAATGGCATGTGTAAGTACCATAGTGGAGAGATAGGTTACACCAGCGTCCATCCTGGAGGACTAGAGACAAGAGAGGCCTTGTCTTCTTCCTGAAGCATGGCAGGTCCACAGGCAGTGCCAGGAGTGCTGAGTGTGAGGCTGCCACTTAGTCAGGCCTGTGCTCCATGGCCTTCCTGTTGTGCATGGCAGCACCAGGGTCTGTGAGCAAGCAACAGAGAAACATCCTCTCCTCTTCCTGGTTAAGCCTTTCTCATTTGGTTCTCAGCAGACATACGGAGCCATTGGTTATTTTCCCTACAGGAGTATTTTTTGAATTCGAGGTTTGTAAGTGGTGAGTGTGTAAAAAAGAACAGAAACTAATCTACAAGAACAGCAAGTTTCTTGTAGTATTCTAACTTCATATGTTAGTAATGGCTGCATAGACTGAGGAAGGAGCAGTCAGAGGCTATGCTGAGAAAGAATTTGGGGTCCCAGCAGGACTAGTGGGGACAGCCCTGGTGCTATTCAGCCATGTCTGTTGAGAGTGTGCAGGGGCCAGGTCTTTTCCACCAGTGACCCTTGCTCCAGTCTTCATCTCCAAAGTTTGCTTCTAAAGCTCTGACATGTGCTCTCCTGTTGCAGTTCTTCTCCCTGGAAGGTGATCCTATGGTGCAGCCAATGTATAATCTCAGGTTCATTTAGAAGTTCATGCACCTCTTTGGGCCACTAAGGGCCAGGACAAAGTAGATTTACTCAAGGAGGAAAGCCAAGTACTTGAGGTTATGAGAGTTAAAAAAAAATCAGTAATCCCTGGAACCAGAGATACGGGGTTATACTATAATGGGTCTCCTGCCTTATATAGATGATTCTCACGTGAGCTGGCCTGCCAGGATTGTTGACCAGTTTCCCATCTCAGCTGTCAGAGATGGCGGAGACAAGGTCATTGGTATTTGCCACTGTCAGAGCCAGCTGAATACCCAGCATTTGTGATTTCAGGGTTACATGGTTTAAAGGGCCATCAGTGGAGCACCTTGCAGATGTGTAGGTTTCAGGTGGCACCCATCTCCACCACTCCCTGCTTTGGTGGTTCTGTGCTACTGCTGAGTTGGCTCTAGGGTATGGGGAGGACAACACTGCACAACTTGGCTTCCTCTTAAGGCCTACTCAAAGATAGCATACAATATTAGACCATTGGCCTTGAAATTGCTGTGACGGAGCCTTAGGATTTTGGTAGAGACCTCTTTGGGGTAAGATATTTCACATATTTCTGTTCCTGGCAAGACATAAAGGCTTTAAAACCTTGGATTAAGTGATCTCTGGAGTTCTTTGTATACTCAGGAGCTGACACTGAAATAGGAAAAAGCCCCAAACACTCATGTTAATTGTTCCCTTCAGGACCTGACCCAGTTTTGGCCAGAAATCCAGAGACTGCAGTTACGAAAGTGCGAGGGCCTCCGTGGTCTGTTCAGCTGCCCAAAGTGAAGTTCTCAGGCCTTGGTGGATTTTTACCCAGCTAAGCTAGACATTGCATGACAAGGAAAAATAAAGTAAAGCTTGCCCAGGAAAGGAGCTTACTGTTGAACTGAAAAAATAAGATTAGTAGAACATTTAGATACATCACAATCAAAATATGAGATCCGTGAAAGGATCTGAAGTGACGTGTGTGTGTATATATAGATAAATAAACACATGCATATATACATTTTTTTAAAGATTTATTTCTTTTTATTGGAAACTCAAATACAGGGAGGAGGAGAAACAGCGAGGAAGATCTTCCATTCGCTGAACCACTCCCCAAGTGGCTACAATGGCCAAAGATTAGCTGATCCAAAGCTAGGAGCCAGAAGCTTCTTCTGGGTCTCCCATGCGGGTGCAGTGTCCCAAGGCTTTGGGCCATCCTCAACTACTTTCCATTTATTTATTTGAAAGGCAGAATTATAGAGAGGAAAAGGCATCTTATATCTGCTGATTCATTCCCCCAAATGACTGTAAGCATCCCAGTCTCCCAGATGACTGCAAGGACCCAAACACTTGAACCATCCTCTGCTGTTTTTTCCATGCCATGAGCATGGAAAAATGAGTTTGCCATTAGCAGGCAACTGGATCCTGTCCTCATATTGGGATTCTGGTGCTTCAGGCAACAAGTTAACCAATAGCACCAGTCTCTGGCATGACTCTTGATAGAAATGGGCCTTGAAGCAGAGTAAGGCAGACTCAGCCGCCCTCACTCTCCTTAGGGTGGAGCAGCAGCTTAGAGGTTTAGACTTTGTGTGCATGGCCCAACAGTGGCAGCAAGGCCTCAACAGGGTATAGTAGTTGCTTTACTCCCTGGGCTACTTGTCAAGCCCCTTGCACCATGGTTCCAGCTATGATGGGTTACTCTTGGTGTGTTTGCAGATCCACCTCCACCACAACAGCCGCCACCACAGCCACCTGCAGACGGGGTCCCTCCACCTACTGCTCCAGGCCCACCAGCCTCAGCTGCTCCTTGACCTGGAAGAAACAGGAAACACCAGCGCCCACCACCATGGAACTTGGGTGACAAGACTTGCGTTTCTCAGCTTCCTCGTGTTTCTTTCAGGATTTTTCTTGCAGCTCCAAGCACATTTCCCGTGTCCCCCCAATCCCCTTGCCACTCCCTCCAAGCTCTGACACCTCTTGTGTCAGGGCCTCTGCCTACACTCAAGAGGGAGCCTGTGGTGCCAGTATATGCTGGTCACTCAAAATTACGTCTCCCCTGTCCTGTTGAGGGGGCTGTTGGCAGTCTGTTCCGCAGGTCAGCATTAGTATCCATGTCTTCATCATCTTCACCCTCCTGCAGTTTTTGTTTTGTCTTCTGCTTCTGTGGATACTGCTCTATAATCATTGTCTTTCTTTTTTTGTTGTTATCATTATTGTAAAGGAGAGCATCTTAAGTTAATAGGAACCAAAAAATGGTGATAGGCAGAAGGGGATAGCTACAGGGGACACAACTGAAGGCATTATAAGTGACCTTACTTCTGCTTATCTGAGCTAAGAATCGTACAGTTGTCGGTGAAGCATCATGAGACTTTACCACACATAAAATGCACCAAATTGGAAGAGATGGGCAAGGAAACCCCACTGATTCTCTTCCCTAGTGAGGGCTTCCACCCTGCCTGGCAGAACGATCACTCTGGCTATTGCATGGCAGAGGCGAGCACAAACCATAGAACACAACCCCTCCTTCCCCAGGCCCCCTGGTTCTGGTTCTCTATGCAGATGAGTTGTTGGGTTGTGGGCAGGTGTTTGGTTTCTCTGAAGGCAGTGTGAGTTCTAAGGGTTGGGTTTTAAGGTGGCATCTTTAGTTCCTTAAACTGGCCACAAAGTTGTATGGGATCCATGGCTAGCAGTGAGCCCCTATGAATCTAGCCTACGATTCACTGCTTTGTATGCATTTTTTATTTTTTTTTTCTCTTTGACAAAAAAACTATAAAATTTAAAAAAAAAAAAAGGTAGATAGTTACAAACTTTTAGCTCCTGGAGCTTGGATAGGATGGCTTGGGGCAGCGGGGAGGAGGGTACAAGTCGCCAGACTACCTCTTGCTGTGGCCAAGATAAGTGGAATTGCGTGAAACGGTACTTCAGGCTTGAGTTAGGATTGGAAGATTAGGGCAGGTGCATTGGCTTCGTGCGTTCTCCTGCCTCTTCTGAGACGTGGCATTCCACCGGTTGCAGGGTTGTCAAGGAGATGCTAAGGGTGATAAGGAACTGACTTGGCAGGCAGAACATGACACCTCAAGGCTTGGGGTGCTCGGGCTGGACAGGCATGATGCCTTTCCAGAGGAAGAGCCACAACATGCCTTAATTTGACCTTAGATCTACCCCTGCTGACAAGTGACTTCGGAGTTTTGGTTTTCTCCTCTTGTCCTTCTGTCCTCCTAACCTTCCATGCATTGGAAAAGGGTGTTTTTGGTAGAGCTTGTTTTCCAAAGCACCTGGCTTCCTTGTGTAACTGTCAAGTGGCAGTTTTTTTGTTTAGAATGCAAAGTGGAATATCATTTGGATATCTTTTTCTATGTATTTTCTAAAGCTTTACAAATGAGAAGGTGTAGGGGAGGTATTTGTAAAACACCTTAGAATTTTTTTCCTTAATATCAGAAAGCAAAAAAAATATATGAATGAATGAAAAAAATAAAAGAAATAAACCACAATTGAGATTTGCCTTTCAAACCTTCAGGTCGGTCTCGACCCTGGTGGCCCTGGTCCCCCTCAGAGCACTGGCATACTGCCACCAAAGGAGACCTTGCTCCTGTTGTTGTGTGTGTGGGTGGGGGACTCTCGCAGTAGGAGCAGAGATGAGCGTGCTCCTGCTGGAGTTCAGCTCCAATGCGTTGGCCTCCAGAAAGACCCCAGTGCCTTTTGACAGTGGCCAGGGTTTTCCCTACTTTCCGCCAGTCTTTCCTAAAGGAAACTCATTCTAAATACTTAACCTTTTCCCCTGGAATCCTCGAAGGAAAATGGAATTCTGGTTCATACTGTGGTCTCTTGTAACCTCAGGTCTTCATTGTGATCACTTTCAAATTCACAAGATCCAGGTGGAAATGATTTTACTATGCCGGTTGTAATTCTACAGAATAACTGAATTCTACACTGTTATGTTTGAGTATAAATAGTGATGCTTCCTTTTCATGTCTCTAACCTGGCTTCATTTCTGTAACACAGCCACCCAATTTTGTTTGAAGGGGAATAATATGTGGTTTTTGTACAAACTGTTTTTTGGTGTGTTCTTTCAGCAAAATGAAGGGAGGAATGGACAAACAATCTCAGCGTTTAAAGCCTGCCAGCAGGCCCCGAGGGTGATGCAGTGGTGTTCTTTTGCCATAAGAAGCACTAGAGACAAGCTGTTGAGGAATGTCTTCTTTATTATACACAAGTACAGGTTATAAAAAGTGAGAAAGGGGAGGGCAGGAGCACCCCCCCCATTCACCAAAGACAGTGTCATTGGCTGTAAGGCACATCTTTCTCCCTTGAATTTTCTAGTCAAATTCCATGTGTATTCCCCTTGACCTTATCAAGTCAGAGGTCACACTCCACTAGTAGGCCTGGAAACTGTGCCTCAGGACATGGGGAGATAGTTGTAAGCCATGCCTACCAGATAGCAGGGCAGGTACCTGATGCAATTGCCCACAAAACAAGGCCTACCCTGCTTCTTAGTGAATAAATGCAGTATGATCTCTGGATTCTAATCCCATTCTCTGCATTCACACACTGGGTTCTTCATGCATCCTGTGAAGAACCATAATACTTGGGCATACCTAGTCTTGTCAGCAGTTATAATGGCATGACTTGGAGTTACTTCCCAGGTGCTTGCCCTTATGATATTAACAGACATATTAAGGTTCTTCAAAAAATTGTGATGATGTAAGTAATTGGGTTCCTGCCACTCATGGAGACTTACGATTGTGCTCCTCAGCAAAACCCAATCCTGTCTGTCCTCTGCATTTGAAAATTAAACCAACATATGGGATCTTGTGTGCACATACATGTTATCCTTCTTTTGTGATAAATACAGATTTTTTTTTTTTTCTCCTTTGGAGGATGGCCCAAAGCCATGGGACCTTGCACCCACATGGGAGACCCAGAAGAGGCTCCTGGCTCTTGACACTGGATCATCTCAGCTTCGGCCTTTGCGGCCATTTGGGGAGAGAACCAGCAGACAGAAGATCTGTCTTTCCTATCCTTAAATCTGATCTGCCTCTCCAATAAAAATATTTATTTAAAAATATGTTCATGGAAAGAGTTTATAATTTTTTTAAGATAGATTTATTTCAATGGCAGAATTACAAAGAGAAAGAGAAACAGGGAGCTTCCATCCACTAGTTCACTCCGCAAGGGCCTCAACTTACCCAACGAGACCAGGCTGAAGCAACACACTGCAAAATTCTTCCAGGTTTCCACTGTGGGTGCAGGGGTGCAGGTACTTGGGCCAATTTCTGCTTCTTTCCCATTTTCCACATTAGCAAGTTGCTGGATCAGAGTACAGCAGCCAGGACTTGAACCAGCGACCATTGGCGGTGCTGGTGTCAAGCACTAAAGCTTAACTCATTATGCCACAACACCGTTCCCTCCATGAACTTTCTGAAGTGCCTTGTGTCTCGCTGTTTATTTTTGTAGTCACAGTAAAGGGAGATGAATGGACATTGTCCACAGAGAGGGTAACCTGCATACAGGTACCTCCAAGGAAGGAACAGACTTGCTTGGCAAACTGGATGGGGAATGTGTGCCAGGATACAGTTTGGACAACCCCAAGTAGGAAGCAAAGACGGCTGAAAACAAGGAAAGAAACGATTGTCTTCAAGTAGCATTCGAATTCAGTGAGGCAGAACAAGAGGATTCTGTGTCTTCTGTCAGGCAAACCTCCAGTTCTTGCCAAAATGTGCTTCCCAAAAAGAAGACTGAAGCTTCAGCTGTGGCATTCCCCCAGGTGGTTAATCTTTGATCCAGACTAACCAAAGACTAGCTAACAACTTTGCATGAGTGGTTTTAGAACATAATACGGCCTACACTGCCCACTAACATTGTCCTTCATGGATCCTCAGGTTCCTGTTAAGGCATAATTGCCCCAAATCCACTGAGAATTGTCACTTCAAATTTGAATTCAGTAACATAACCCTGTCCAGGAATACACAAGATACTGGGCCCTACACATCTCAATTCTTAGCAAGTTGACAGGGCATGCTGCTGTGCCCAGTCAAGAGCCTGCCCTGAGGACCACTGGCCAGGAAAGCTGCGGTAGAGTCTGCACAGAAGCCGTTCCTCAAGGTTCATTCTATGAGTTTGCCCAGTAAACATTTAAAGGCTTGCCATGTACCAGGCCTTGGGTGTCGCCTTCAGTGAAGTCACAGAAAGGCAACATCCTAGGGAGGTTGGGAATACCAGACCATAGGAACACATGTAAAAGATTCAAATGAGTAACAAAATATAACAATAGGGTCCAGTGCAATGGCGCAGTGGATAAGGTCCTCGCCTTGCACACCCAGGATCCCATATGGACACCGGTTCTAATCCCGGCGGCCCCACTTCCCTTCCAGCTGCCTGCCTGTGGCCCGGGAAAGCAGTCGAGGACAGCCCAAAGCTTTGGGACCCTGCACCCACGTGGGAGACCCGGAAGAGGCTCCTGGCTTTGGATCGGCATAGCATCAGCCATTGCGCTCATTTGGGGAGTGAATCATTGGACGGAAGATCTTCTGTCTCTCTATATATCTGCCTTTCCAATGAAAATAAATCTTTAAAAATATATAACAATAGAAAAGTTGGTCATTCTTATGTAGTGCCACGTCTTCTTAAGATGGAATAGTATAATTAGAGGCTCTGATTGTTTAATACCTGGCCCTCTGGGGCAGTCCTGCTCTGATATAGTTCTTGTGGGAGCCCTCCCTTGCAGGATTGGAGACATGTTGACTACAGCTCCCAAGGGATTTTCATGCTCTTCCTACCCCATGAAAGGTAGATAGGTTACCAAATTATGACAGCTATCTATATTCCTAAGGACAGCTTTGCAGACTTCAGCCATGTAACCACACTATATACAATACTGTGACCATTGCCAGATAGCTGATGAAGCAAAGAAATGCCTTCTCCTTGGTGCTGTCGTAGTCTACCTAACACACTGTCAGCACGTGGGCCAGCAGGGCTCTTGGGTGTACCTCTCCACAAGGTGACTCCACCCTGACATACTGCTGTCTCTCCCTTGGGCGCCCAGACTGTAGAAACCCTTGCTCTAATCAGCTGTTGTATGGTAGCACCTGGGTTGTCACCTGAAGCAGCAGGCCTCCTCTGCAAGCACTTGTAGTTCCTCATCTTAAGCTATGTTAAATTGTGTGGCTATGTCCCAGCTGTTAGACAGGAGCACCTCCAGGTTGTGATGTCCATTTCCGACAGTGCTGGATAGAACTCAAGAGTCCCCATAGTGTGGAGGTGTCCTTCAAAACTAAGACCCTTGGCCCTTTAACCTGTCCCTTCTTCCTGGGCTTGTTCACTGAAAGTGGTGACAGCCTTGCCTATAACAGAATGTAGTCTAGTTACCAGTGTCTTTCCCTATTCAGAGATCACAAGGCCCAGGTGAAAGTGGAGTTGAGGGGTGCCCTGGGAAGGACAGCAGATAGCGCTTCAGGGCTGCCATTTGATTCCCAGCCTCTGTATCCTGATTCCCATCCAGAGGTTAACAGCAAGAAAACATGAGAGACTGGTCTTCTACCCATTGATTCACTCCCCCGAAGAACCACAACTGCAGGAGCGAAGTCCGTTCAAAGGCAGGAGCTTCTTTCAGATTCCCAAGGGGTGTAGAGTTGTCTACTGCTATTCCAAGGCACATTAATAGGGAGCTGGATGGCAGGTGGAGCAGCCCATGTGGGATGACAGCACCACGGGCAGCATTTTAATTCTAATGCTGGCCTTGCCTCTCCATAGCACGATTTTGGTGTCATTGACTGTTTTTAAGTTATTATTTTTTGAAAAGTAGAATGAGCTGGGCCCGGCGCAGTGGCGCAAGTGGTTAAGGTCCTCGCCTTGCACGCCCGGGATCCCATATGGGCGCCGGTTCTAATCCCGGCAGCCCCGCTTCCCTTCCAGCTCCCTGCCTGTGGCCCGGGAAAGCAGTCGAGGACAGCCCAAAGCTTTGGGACCCTGCACCCACGTGGGAGACCCGGAAGAGGCTCCTGGCTTTGGATCGGCATAGTATCGGCCGTTGCACTCACTTGGGGAGTGAATCATCGGACGGAAGATCTTCCTCTCTGTCTCTCCTCTCTGTATATCCGCCTTTCCAATAAAAAAACAATAAAAATAAATCTTTAAAAAAAAAAAAGAAAAGTAGAATGAGCTTCCATCTACCAATTCATTCCCGAAATGGTTGCAACAGACAGATATGCGCCAGCACGATGCAAAGAGTAAAGGTCTATCCAGGTCTTCCCCATGAGTGGCTGGGGCATCATCTGCTCTCTTCCCAGGCACACTGGTGGAAGCTAGATTGGAAGCAGAGCAGCCGAGACTAAAATTGGCTCTCCAGTATGAGATGGGAACATCACAAGTAATAGTTTGACATGTTGCACCACCGTGCAGTCCCTGTGATTGACTTTATTGTCTTCATGTCAGCTTGCCATTAGGACTAACACTTGTAATACGGTTCTAAAGAACTGGGCAAGTTATACCACATAGAAAACTGAAAACCCATTCATGTGTTGGGAATTAATACCAAATTAAGCCAGCAGCTGTGCTCCCTCCATGTAGCGTGGAATAGCCACTTTGAACGGCAGTCCCTGGTAAAGCAACTTTCCAGGTCCAGCACAGGAGCCTAGTGGCTTAAATCCTCACCTTGCACATGCCAGAACCGCATATCTGCACTGGTTCGTGTCCCTGTGGCCCCACTTCCCATCCAGCTCCTTGCTTGTGCCCTATGAAAGCAGTTGAGGGCAAACCTTGGAAACCTGCACCTGTTTGAGAAACCCAGAAGCAGCTCAGGGCTCCTGGCTTTGGGTCAGCTCATCTCCGGTCATTGTGGCCATGTAGGGAGTGAATCAATGGACAGAAAATCTTTCCTCCTCTCTGTATACCTGTTTCCAATAAAAATAAATAAATCTTTATATACATATATAAACGTTTCCCCTTATGTTGCCTGTCATTTCTTTAACCTATCCTAGCCTAGGCCAATGAAAAATGTGCATAGAGAATCTATCAATTTCAACAAGATTTTTGCACCAAGATAAACACCTTCTAACTTTTTCTCACTAACCTTGAGGTGCCCTTGTATTATAATCTGACATTGTATGGCTACCAAGCACACCTAGGAGGCATAGATCACTGATTCCGCCACAGTAACACAAGAGCTGATGCCCATTCCTCATCTTTGCTCACACCACCTCCAAGTGTTCAACTCTCCGGTCTGCCTGTGCAAGGCAAGTGAGGATCCACAGAAAACTGAGAAAACTGCGGGGACACTTGATTTCTGAAATTCCCAGACTGGGGGCCTGGCATAATCACCTAATGGCTAAAGTCCTTGCCTTGCTTGCACAGAGATCCCATGTGGACACCGGTTCATGTCCCAACTGCTCCATTTACCGTCCAGCTCCCTGCTTGTGTCCTGGGAAAGCAGTCGAGGATGGCCCAAAGCCTTGGGATCCTGCACCCTTGTGGGAGACCCAGAAGAAGCTCCTGGCTCCTGTTTTCAGATCAGTTGAGCTCCAGCTGTTTTGGCTGCTTGGGGAATGGATGTGAGATCTTTCTCGTGTCTCTCTTATCTGTAGATCTGCCTTTCCAATAAAAGTAAATAAATCTTTTTTAGAAAATCTCAAATTGATTAGTAAGATAACCGTTTGTCTCCAGGGAATTAAGAAGATGGTTGAGGACAAGCAGACCTTGAAAAATGAGAGATTTCACATCTCCTACCACGTTTTGTTGATTCTAAACCTGAATTTTAAAATAATACACTTCGCAAAACGTGCTAAAAAGGAGAAGTCAGCTGGGGTAGGTAGAGTTTTAAGGAAGAGAGGCAGAAGGGTCCCTGTTTGGCATTACGCAAAATGTGCGAGTGGCTGCCATGTCCCAGGCGGCATAGGACCGCTCACAGACAGAAGAAGCAGGGGGGATTAGAAGCAAGGCACAGAAGTGAAGTGTGAGGGAAGGGACCAGGAAAAATTGCTGCTGTTGTGGCCAGCGAGCAGGTGTGAAACCACAACTAGCTTTCTGCTTTAGCAAAGGCTGTGCGGTCTGGGCGATTTTTTAGAGCCTCCATCTCACTAACACCCCCCAACAAATCCCATGACAGCAGGGCGTTGGCCAGGGCAAAGCTAGGAACTCAATCTAGTTCTCAGAGTGGATGGCAAGAACCCAACTTTTGAGCTATCACCACAGCCTTCCAGGAAGCTGGAATTGGGGCAGAACCAGGTGCTGCATCCAGTCCACCAATTTTAGATTGGGGTTGCGGGGGAGGGGGGAGGCGTTGTCTCATTCCTTTTAGGCCAAACCCCTTCCCCAAGATTGGCATCTTAATATCCCCAGAGGCAGTATGAAGCCAGTGAAATACCTAGTAAAGTTGGCCCCTAGTAAAGTTGTCCCTTTTACGGGACACCCTAGACCCACTGTTGTATGGTGAGTGAGTAGTGCTTGCCAGTCACTGGGTGCCAGGTCTTCTGCAACCCCAGCAACTTCCCCGGCCATACAATACAGGACGCAAGTGCCTTGCACTTGCTGGCTGTCTCCTGGTTCTGTAGACAGGGATGTCTTTGGCGGGGGGAGGGAGACGGGCTCCTGCCTGGCCCAGCCCCTGCTTACGCCTTCCTCCTGGGGCTACCTGGGGACTTGGGCTCTAATGACCTGGGGGAAGACTACGTGTCCATTGCCAGAGAGAGATCCAAGGTCGCCCTCCTGCTGCCCAGGGGCTTCATGAAGGCAGGCCAGGGCTCACCAACACACCCCACCCCATCCCCGCCCCCTCCGTGCGTCCCGGTGGGCCCGGATCTGCAAGATCTGGGCTAGTGGCTTTGGCTGCGGGCGGATTAGGTCTGAGCGGATTAGAGCCTGGGCCGTCGGATTCGCCCCTTTTCCAGGCTTCGCCAACGCCCCCAGGCCCTCGAGGGGGGTCAGTGGAGCGTAGACCCTTCCCCGCATGGCACATCGGATTGACCCAGAAATTTGACAGGATGGTGCGACCTGGACCAGGGGCACTTCCACTGCGGGCTTGGGCTGCAGCCCTGCCGCTCCTCCGTGCCCCGCCCCGAGTCTGCGGGTGTCTAGGACTGCGACGTCCCCGCCCCCGGCTCGCCGCGTGGTCGGGTGGGTGGGTGGGTTCGCGGGATCAGCCGCCGCCTGCTCCTTCCCCAAAGGGTGCGCGGCTGCCCTGCCCGCAGGTGGCCCGCCCTGCACCTGTCGGCCGCCGGGGCGCGCGCGCAGCGCCCAGCAACCGTTTGCGCCCGCGTCTTGTGCGCGGGGGTCCGTCGGTGGCCGCGGCGGGCGGCCTGGGGGACCGGCGTCAGCGCTACGTGCTGCGGGGCGGGCGGGGTGGGGGCGGCGCCGAGCGCGGCGGCGGCGGCGGCGGCGGCGGTGGCGCGGGAGGCGGGAGCGGCGGACGCGGCGGCGGCGGTGGCGGCGGCGGCATGCGGCTCGGGCGGCTGCTCGTGCTGCCCACCGCGGGCTGAGGCGGCCGCAACACAGGCGGGCGCGGCGGCCGGGCGAGCCGGGGGCGCAGCCAGCGCGGGGACCGCTCACCGCGGCCGGGGCTCCGTGCCATGGGCCAAGCCGGGGGCGGGGGCCCGGGCTGGGGACCGCCGCTCATGCTGCTGTTTCTGGGGGCCGCGCTGGTTCTCGCCGCGGGGGCCGTTCCCGGTAGGTACTGACCGCGAGCTGGGGAGTGGGGGGGGCCCAGCGACCCTCGCGCCCCACCCCGGCCCGGGGTCCTGCCGGCCTCGGGCACACAGGTGGAGCCCGCACGCGGCGGCCAGGGGGCGGGGCACGGCCTTGCGGTGGCCGGGTGGATGGAGAACGCGGACCGCGCGGTGACCTAGGGGGACGCTAGGTGGGGGACAGCCGCGACCACCACGCCAGAACCCCTGGGTGGACCGGAGGAGGGGGTCCGTGGGGGCGGGGCTGCAGGTGGTGGGAGTCGTGGGTGCGCGTTCAGGGTGGGGCCGCAGGGGCGGGAGTGAGGGTAAGGCTGGGGGTCCGTCGCTGACTGGGACTTGTGGGCCCCGAGATTTGGAAGCCGGGGCGGGGCGAGAGGGGGCGTGGCGTGGGACGCTGAGGCTTGACCTCGGCCTAGGAGAGTGGTCGGGGGGCGGGGTCCCCTCCCTGACGCCCCGCCCCCTCGCCTTCCCGCCCACAGCGCGCGACGCCGGCGGCGCGGTCGAGGCCAAGGAGCTGAGGAGCGGCCTGGCGCGGGAGCCGCGTGCCAACGCCACGCAGGACGAGGCCAGCCCGCCGGCTGCCGGGGAGGATTCTGAGCCGGGCGCGGTGGTGCCTGAGGAAGCACTGGAGGCGTCGGCTGCAGTGACGGGCACCACCTGGCTGGAGGTTGACAGCCCGGGCCTGGGCGGAGTGACCGCAGAGGTGGGCAGTGGTGACACCCAGGCCCTCCCAGCTACACTGCAGGCCCCCCAGGAGGCCCCTGATCAGTCTACGAAGCCTCCCACCACCTCTGAGGCACCAGAGGCCAGCGGACCACCTTCCCCCACCCCTGATGACAAGCTGAGCTCAGACCCCGAGCTCCCCAAGGAGAGGCCCTTGGAGGTTTGGCTGAACTTGGGGAGCAGCACACCTGAGCCCCACGGCTCAGAGCCCCCCTACCCCTTTCAGGGCACGCAGGAGCCCCAGCCTGCCTCCGATATCATTGACATTGACTACTTCGAAGGACTGGACGGGGAGGGTCGTGGCGCTGAGCTGGGGAGCTTCCCGGGGTCACCCGGAAACTCCGAGAGCCATTCTGAGGGCCAGGGAGAGACCCCCTCCTGGAGCCTGCTTGACTTGTATGATGACTTCACCCCCTTTGATGAATCTGATTTCTACCCCACCACGTCCTTCTATGATGACCTGGAGGAAGAGGATGATGAAGAGGAAGAGGACAAGGACGCAGTGGGAGGCGGCGACCTGGGAGAGCCCAACGACCTCATGGGGCCCACTCAGAAGCCTGGTGCGGGGCGCACTCTGGGGTTGGTCCCCGGCAGCAGCATTATCGCCCTCAGACCCCGCCCGGGAGAACCAGGCAGGGATGGAAACGGCACCAAGTGCCACAATGGCTTCGTGCGACACAACGGCTCCTGCCGGTCCGTGTGCGACCTCTTCCCCAGCTACTGTCACAATGGCGGCCAGTGCTACCTGGTGGAGAACATAGGGGCCTTCTGCAGGTAAGGTGGCTCCAGGCAGGTGCATGGGGCTCATGGACTCAACCGAGAGGGCCTTGTGACAACTATGAGGGCTAAAAGGCTCTCAGGCACACAGCTCTCCCAGTCAGCAGTCGAGTCAAAACAGACTTGGGTTTCATTCCGCCAGCTGCACTGCCTGTGGCCTTGTTGCTGGCATGCTCCCTCCGAAATAAGATCTGGCATTTCCTCTAGGTGTGTGTGTCCTTAACCAGGCCACTCCATTCTTTAGACAGAGAAGTGGGAACTTCCCTGAAGGGCTTTGTTGGCAAGAGCCGTGTGGCAACGTGACTGCCCCACAACCCTGCTCTGGAAGGAGAGGCACACTTCACCTCATGGCCCACTACCTCTTTTGCCCACTCTTGCCCTCCTAGGTGGTGTTGCTCTGCAGGCAAGCTCCCCTCTTTACCCTGTGAGAGCCAGTGGGTGGGCAGAGTTGGCATCTGCTTGTCTGCCTTGTCTCAGGGTCCAGCAGTAGAGCTGCACCGCTTTAAGATTCATGTCCCTGCATCCTCAGAGGAGGGTGTGTGTGTATGTCCTTTCAGTATCTCTTCAATATCATTCTTGATGCTTCTTTGTCTTGTTCTCAAAGCGGGTACATGATGGATTCAAGCTTCCTCACTCTTAGTGTTCTAGGAGAATAACCTGGAGGGTGGTGATCGGGGCACCCTTGGCATTGCAGCTTTGGCTACAGTTCCTTCCCATGAGGCTCTTTTCCATAGTGCTCACAGCATTCAGATGAACTGCGTGCAGCTGCTTCCCAGCCATTGCTGAGAGAAGGACCTATGACTAAGAAATGAGGGCAGATTAGGACCCTAGAAAGATGGAGGATACCCTGTGATCTAGTCTAGAAACTGACTATGGGGCTGACTGCAGCCTGAGAGCTGTGTGCTAAATCATCACCATGTATATTTTTGGAGGCCTGGCGTCTTCACCTTCAAAGGGAGCTCCCAATCCAAATGTGGAATGTGGAGCCCCTCCTGCCTCTGACAGGCTAGAGACATTCCCAGAATCCTCCCCCACCAGCAGGAAGGTAAGCTTGCCCCGCCTCACTCAGCCGCTTGGCTCCACCGCCCCAGGGCCCCAGCCTCCACTGGCGTCTGTCACTGCCTCAGGAGGGCTTTCCTCCAGGGCCACCGTGGTTCCCTGTGGCTCAGGATCCTACACAGACCTCCCTGCCAGCTGCCTCCACTGGCTGAGTATACCCAGGCCTGGCCATGTGCAGCCTGAACGCTGCTTTTGCATTCCACTCACAGGAGACTGCTGAGTCTGTCGTTGCAGACTGCAGCATGCCTTTGTCTCTGTCACCCTAGCCCGCTGCGGGGGAGAAGTCAGGAGAATGCACAGAGCCGTGGCTTAGATTCCCAGGGCACTGATGAGGGAGCTCCCACGTGGAGGGGTTCTGCCCTCCCTAGCAGCCCTCTACACAGTCTCCCCATGACCCAGAGACTCCAGATGGAAGACAAAAGAAGGATCCCCAGTTAGCCACACCTCCCCATCCTGTCCTGGAAGTGGAGCAGCCAACCCTCAAGGGCCTCGTGTCCCTCTGTAGTGCCTGCCGACCCCCTGGCACTCTCTGTCCTCCACTATCCGTGAGGTTTCAGGTCCTCCATTGCCTGCCTCTGCATCCCTCCACGTCTTTCCCTCTTTGAAGCAGCCTGGTTCCCATGGAAACAGCAATGTCATTGGAAGAGCTGGAGCCTGGGAACCGCATCCCCAAGGGCAGGAGAAAGTCACTCCACAAAAGGACTACAGCCCACCCCAAGGGCTGACTCTCATCATGCTGGCTTCATGGTCCTGCCTCCTAGTAAGGAGACAGGAAACTTGTCCAGGGATAAGGAGTAAGAAGGGGTGTGTGGCAGAGCTGGGAGAGGAAGACGGCATCTGTCCGTGTGTGTCCTTGTCTGTCCCTGCCTTTTTTCTCAGTGTTTGATTAGTCATGTGAGCTAGAGGGGGCGTGGCAGAGCAACAAGGTAGGCTTGTTGCTGTAGCTTCTTATTCATCTTATTTCCCCTCTGTCCTTCGTGGGGAGGCCTGGGCAGGGATGGTCCTGGGAGAATCATGCGGCTGAGCTCACGAAGGCCACGCTCAGTCACCAGATGCTCATGAAACTATGAGCCTGCCTGCACCTCAGCTGCTTCCTTCATACCAGGGCCTTCAGGGCTAGAATGTTTGGGAGGTTGGGACGGGGATGCCACCTAGGTGGTCTGGACAGGCCTGAGGTATTACAAAATAAGAGTGGTTCCAGGAACAGGCTGTTGAGCGAAGCTCTGGGACCAACGAGATCCACACTCCCAGGGGAGTCTCACACTGTTGCTGCTGCAGGTGTAACACGCAGGACTACATCTGGCACAAGGGGATGCGCTGCGAGTCCATCATCACCGACTTCCAGGTGATGTGCGTGGCCGTCGGCTCGGCCGCGCTCGTGCTGCTCCTGCTCTTCATGATGACGGTGTTCTTCGCCAAGAAGCTGTACCTGCTCAAGACAGAGAACACAAAGCTGCGGAGAACCAAGTGAGTCTGGGCCGCTGGCCTCACTTGCAAGAAGGCACTCTGACACCCGGTCCCAGGGACCTTGGTCAGGGAGATTCCTGACCCCTTGCTCCCCATGCCCTAGCTGTCTCGTTGGTGCTAAAGAGCAGAAGGTTATCAGGCATACCCATCCCTACACAGAATGCATTAGAATCACAGCTGGAGGCAACGCCCCTGTCCAGGAGGGCATTTCCCACCCCACCCTCTAGATACTCCCACCCACCCCTCTGGAGATAGAGGGTATTTAAAGCAAGAACAGCCAGCAAGCAGCAACTCCTGGCTCTCACCTCCCAAGCAAGCTCCCGTCCTGCCCCAGCTGCCTGGTCCCACCGCTCATACCAGCATCCCTCGTCTCCTACAGCTTGTGGCCAGTGAATTCGCTCACAGGTCAATGTGCAGTACCCCATCTCCCTCGAATCTACTGTCACTCAGGAGTAACTCCCACTCAGGGAATGGTTGAGGAGCAAGGAATGGCACCACATTGTGCGTGGCAACCCTCCATCCAAACAGAACTGCAAGGAACTTTCCAGAACTTTCCAGCTCTCCTGAGTAGGCTGGTGGGCAGAGAAGGGCAAGCTTCTTATGCCATGGGTTTTAAGAGCCCTGTGGGGATAGGAGTCCTAGGATCTCATTTCCACTTGTCCCTTAGCTTAGCAGTGCCTGGTAGGTTCCCACATGAAGTTGGTAAGCACTTGCCCTCTACCTCTAGATACCTTAGCTACCCTCCATGTGACCTTACACACTGAGAAAGAATCACTCTATCCCCACCCCCTCTCACACACAAAAGTAGACAGTAGAAGTGTCACAGGCATCACAAAAGGAAGAAATTGGAGTTCCCAACCCCACAGACAATTTATGCAGGATTGTGTGCCCCATCCCACCCAGCCCTCCCTCCTTTTCAGCCTGCAGCCTCCAGTTTATCCCCTCCCCCTGACCTGAGGCTCCCTCCAGTGAGTGCAACTGCAGGACAGGGCCAGGTCCTGGAAAGAGGACAAAACACCATCTGTTGCTCCTTTGCTGGCAGAGCCTCTCAGTGTGCAGGCACTGGCAGGCTCTCTGTGGGGGGCCCCTCCACTCCCCAGCTAACGGACGCGATCGCCATTGTGCATGTGCACTGAGGTGGGGGCTGCGTCTGTGCACGTGATGGCTGCAGAGTCTCACACACACATACACGGGGACCCTCCTTCCTACACCAAGGCGGGGTGGGTGAGCATGGGTATGCGGGGTTGGGAGGTAACTGCTACCAATCCAGCAGGGTGGGTAGACAAGGAGCAGCTGCCAAAGGAGTTGGAGAAGCAGGAGATGTGGCTGCAGGGCCTTCTCTGCCCCAGCCTCCTGTGGTTCCCTTTGCTGGCCACCTTTGCTCTCCATGGGCGTGCTTTCTCTCCTGTGCATGTGTGGTTATGCTGCCCATGTGCCCAGCACGGTTCAGAGGCTGCTGCAGCATGTCGATCCTGAAGTGTACCTATTTTCTCACCGGTTCACATTCTGAAATCAGATCACATCTGACAGTTGCTTGGCATGTTGCAATCAGTGTCGGCCAGATGGTAGACATGATGCGGTTGGCATTGCCTGGTGTGCACCAGACGTGGTCATAGCTGTTCATATCACTGTCAGTTCTGTTATCCAGAGTCTAAATGAGTGACTCCTGGTGTGTCACTGAAAGAGGGGACAAAAAGCCATTGGATTATGGACTCAGTGATGAAAGCTTCCTTCTTAATGCCACATCAAATAATGGTGCATCTCAGGACTCTGTGGCATTTGATGAAACTGCAGCATTGAGCCACAAGGCTGAGGAGTTCACTCCCACCAGGCTTTGGTGCTGTCATCTCACTGACATTTCTTCTCCTTTTCTCGCCTCTGTCTGACCAGCAAATTCCGGACCCCATCTGAGCTGCACAACGACAACTTCTCCCTCTCCACCATTGCCGAGGGCTCTCACCCAAACGTAAGGAAACATTGCGACACCCTCCTTCTCCCCATCCCACCCTCTCCCCCATGCTCCCTCCCCACATGCCAGGCCTGAGCGCAGCATGAATCACGTTATCTGTCAGGGAACCTGTCTTCTCCACATCTCGCTTCGTGTGTGCCTCAGCCCCATCCCCGCCCGCCTGTGTGTCCCAGGTCTGGTTCCATGGGAAACCTTTCCAGGGCATCTGCAAAGGTCAGCTAAGGGCAGTGAAGGTGGAAGCCAGCCCCTTGGCTGACCTGTCGCTTCTTTGACAAGCAGTAGGGTGGGGGAAGGGGAGCCAGAGAAGACTTTGTTCCCGGATGCATCATGTGCACTTCACAAGTCTGACTGTGGCGTCTTTGACCTTCCATACCCAGGAGCAGATCGCTGGCTCTCCTTGCCAGGGAATTCCCTGATAGTCACTAAAGCCCAACAGGCAGTTGCTCTTTCAGAAAGGGTGGGGGAAATAACCCCTAGGTCTTGATGCTCTTGGAGGACCCTAAAAAGCTAACAGGTGAGAGCTGAGTGACCACAAAGCCCTGGTGGAACCCTGAGTCTAGGAGACATTCTCTTCAGAGGAAGAGGATGGGCTCATACATCCCACTGGAACCCAGTGGAAGCTCCTACTAGACTGAAAACCACGGCCCAGGGTGTTGCCTGGAGCAAAGAATTTAAAAACAGAGATCTGTCCAAACCCTGTCCTCACCCTGCCAAGACATGGGCATGTGAATTCCACATCCCAAGAATTCTGCCCACAGTACAGGCCCCATGCCACAGGGTAAATGTGTGATTACACAGCAGTTATTACACACATAAGGAAGTTGAACAGAGATACCAGACTGAAAAAAAAAATGGCATTTAAGGAGCAATTTCTGAAGTTCTTTGAGGTAAGAGACCCTAGAATCTCAGAGGCCTCAACAGACTTTAGATTTGTCCTGTCCTATGGAAAAGATGTGCAAAGGAGAAACGTTTTAATTCTGTGCCATCCACCACAGCTGCCACAGGGCTCTCAAGTGCTTGGCAGGTGCCTGGTGCCTCCTGTGTTGAACAGTGCAAGTCTGGCCCATTGCTGTTTGCCTCTTGTTCGTTTTGTTTTTGAGGTTTGTTTATTCACCTGTAAATCAGAGTTACAGAGAGAAAGATCTTCCATCTGCTGGCTCACTCCCCAGATGGCTGTGACAGCCAGCCAAGAGCTTCATCTGGGTCTCCCACACAGGTAGTGGGGGCCCAAACACTCGGACCGTCGTCCGCTGCTTTTCGCAGGCCGTTAGCAGGGAGCTGGTTGGGAAGTAGGGTCGCTGAGACAGGAGCCATCACCCACAGGCAGTGGCTTTACATGCAATGCCATAGCACCGGCCCCCACTGTCATTTGTTTACTGATGAAGAAACTGTAGCCCCAGAAGAGGAAGGAGAGACTAACAGTGCATGTGGCCTTATTCACCAAACTCCAGACAAGGAACAGGTGGCCTGGTGGAGGAGAAGAGAGATCATAGCAAATATGAAGTATGAGATATAAACTTGAGCCGTTTTATTTTTAAATCTTTGATATTGAAGAGCAGGAAGAAAACAGGTTGTATCACTTGGTATGTCCCCAGAGATTAGTGATTTTGAAATCATAAACAAGGACACAAGATGTCTTACAGACTTCATAGTCAATAACCACAATCATCAGTCCCCGAGGATGTGGGCCTCCGGAGGGGAGAGCGCAGTCCCGCTCATGCCCGCGTGCTGCGTGCTGCCTCTGTGGCCACAAAACCCTGCCATGCTTGCTGGCTCTCCCAGCTTCACAGGGTGCGAGGTGCACATGCCTGAAACACCCCCAAAGACAGAGCAGAGCAGCAAGTGGTCAGCCAGGGTGGACACGGTCTGGGGAGGGGACCGTGAGACTGTCCAGGCAGCACACAGGCTTGACCATCCCTCGGGGAGGTGGCAAGAGCAGGTGTCACTGGTCTCCTAGCACCCCCTCCACCGAGTCTCAGAGAGCCCCCTGTCCCCTATAACGCAACACCCGAGTAAACGAACAACTTTCTCACCCAGCGTTCTGTGTTCTGGATGCGCCACCTCCCTCTCTGATCCGCTCCACCTACCCTTCAGGTTAGACCTGGTCACCTTCGGCATCTTGCAGGCATCTGCAGTTAGCATGGTTGCCACTTGATGGTGGATTCCCACCCACTGCATCAGCCAGCACTCTGGCCTGCCTGGTCACTGCTAGGTGGTGCTAACAGAGAAGTAAGGAAAGCTTGATCAAGTCAAGGGGCAGAAGCCAAGGGGGCAGCAATGTGGATCCATACTTCATCCTTCCCTCTGTCCTCCCTGCCCAAATCCCTTCCTGCCGTCCCCTGCTTGTTTTTCCCCACCCTCTCACCCCAAGTAGATTGAGAATATTCCCACCATAATCTCTCCCAGCCACCCCGTGAGAAAGATTTACAATGAAAGACTTTGCTGTGGCCAAGGAGGGGTCAGGTTTGGGAATCTGTGTCACAGGCTGCCCCTCTCCTCCCGCTCGGCGCCCAGGGGCCACGTGCTGGCCAAACCTGTATGGGAGTCCTTAGTGTAGCTGAGCAGGTGAGAGTGAACAAAGTGTGAGCAGTCACCCCACCTGCTGTGGGTCCAGATGGCCAGCTGCCCTGCGGAGGGATCGGGACTGGAGGGGGTGGTTGGATGATGTGAGTCCCCAGAGAGGGGACAGGCCTTCATAGGACTTCTCCAGAGTGTCCCTTAGTGCTCTCCCTCTCTCTTTTTTCTTTCTGTTGAAATCTCACTCTCCAGATTCAGCTTCAAGATGTGTCTGGTCCGGTACTGTAGGGTTTGCACCTAGAAAACTGAGGATCCAGGACTGAGTCCCCAGTTACCCCCTGGGTTGAAGGGTCCCCCCCACGTGGCTGGAGCATGCACTGGGGGCAGGACAGGGAAGAGGGGAAGCAGTTCTGATTCTGTAGCAGTTCCTGGGATCCAGGCCAGACATCGGCCTGGCCCCCTGGTGACCAAGTGCTTCTGCCAAGTCAGAAACAGATGGGTCCCCTGCTGTGAGATTCAGCGACCCTGGGCTTACCAAGATCAGCTTCGGGTGGGAGGCAGGGGGTGAGGAAGGGCTCCCTCCCCAGTGCTGTTTGCAGAAGGCCCCAGTGGCTCATGTACATGTCTATTCACTTGGCCCACTGCTTGCCCCTGAGGGCAGTTCCTCATACATGTAAATCCTGTGAGCCCGAAATCCACCTCCCTGGCATCCTGGCTCCTGTGCCCGGGTCCTTGAGGGATCACAGTCAGGGGACATTTCCCAGAGCCCCTGGTGCCCTGAGGAGTCTGTGATGCCAGAGGTGGTATGGGGGAGGTTACCTTGAGGAACACAAAAGCAGCTTGTTTGCTGGGAGGAGGAGGAGAGGGCAGCCTCCTGTTGCTTTGATTAGGTTTTGGGGTGATTCAGAGCACCCACATACCCCACCAAAGTTCTTGAATATATCTCATGCCCAGGGCTTTCCCCAAATGGTACAGAAGACACAGAACAAAGAGGACCGTTCCTCGTCCTCCTTCTCTTTCCACAAAGTGACTGTGTGTGTGTGTGTGCGCACGCGCGCGTGCAGGTACATACCTGTGTCCTCACATTTTACGACTCAGTGAGGGTTATCTACTTGTTCTACTCCTTAATACAGAGATATTGGCCGTCTCAGCACGTTTGGGTCACTGTCACCATGCAGCTTTTCCCAGCTCTCCCACAGCTGTGACTGACCTGTCAAGCACTCCTGCAGCAGGCTGGGTGCAGCTGCCAGGCCTGCAGCCTACCTTAGTTCTCCTCAGACCTCAGTTCCTCTTCTCAGGAACAGGGAGCCCCATATCCTGTGGCCTGCAATCCTGAAACTCTGTCTAAAGACTCTCTCTGCTGAGTCTGGGCCACTGGATAAGTTTTGGGTGAGGATGGGGCAGGCAAACAGGGAGCAGGTGGCACTGATTTCTATACTTGGAGAACTTTACTGGACAGCCCTCGCCACCTGCATGAGCAGCCTGGAGTTCGTGCATGCGTTCTTTCTTTCTTTCTTTCTTTTTCTTTTTTAAAAAGATTTATTTGTTTAATTGGAAAGGCAGATATACAGAGATGAGGAAAGACAGAGAGGAAGATCTTCCGTCCGATGATTCACACCCCAAGTGACCACATTGGCCGGTGTTGCGCTGATTCAAAGCCAGGAGCCAGGAACTTCTTTCTGGGTCTCCCACGCGAGTGCAGGGTCCCAGTGCTCTTGGTTGTCCTCAACTGCTTTCCCAGGCCACAAGCAGAGAGCTGGATGGGAAGTGGAGCTGCTGGGATTAGAACCAGCACCCATATGGGATTCTGGCGTGTTCAAGGCAAGGACTTTTAGCTGCTAGGCCACGGTGCCAGGCCCCCCTACTTCCTTTGTAACCCATCACTACCCTCACTCCGAACAGTCATGGACCAAACTCAGTAGCAGGCAGCACAAACAGGAGCTCCAGGCCAACTTGTGCCCATCCCCCATCCCTGCCCCCCTTGACCTCAAGCCCAGAGATTCTGCTAGGTTCTGAAGGTGATTAATTAGAGGTAGGAGTAGCCTGAACTGATAGACAGGGTGTCTGCCACCTATCTGAAATCTGTCCAAGTAGCTGTGCAAGCTCAGCAATGGTTCCAGGCACTTAGGACGCTTAGGACAGTGATTAGGACAACCGCCACCACCACCGACCCATTCTGAGGGTCCCCAGAGAGCAGTGAGGCAGGATTTGCTACCACAGTTCTCTGAGTGGCCAGGATGTGGGATTGGAGCACTGAGCGCTTGTGTAGCAGGTTTGGGGGCGTGGGGGTCCTGAACACCTCCAAAAGGCGGATTCAGTGCAGGTTGCGTAGCCTGGCATTGGGCTACAGGACAGCATACAGGGATTGGCAGCAGGGCCAGGGGACATGGGAGTGGGCCAAGAAATAGCCGTGAGTGTCCCATGCAACGTCCGCCAGCTAGGATCACTCGGGCTTAACTAAGAAAGCACTTTCTTTGTTAGCATCTTTCGGCAGGTGCAGTTTTGATGGTGGGCAGCTCCCATGCCTGGGTCTCTCTAGTGAGGGAATGTGTAGCTGCTGTGGGGGTTGGGGAGCCCTAGCTTTGATGCAAGCAGCTCTGCACTTAGTGTCAGCCTGATGTGTGTGTGCTGTATACGCTGACAAGAAGTGTTTCTCAACCAAGGTTTTCTTTTAGTTTCTGTTTGGTTTGTTGGAGAGGCAGAGAGAGAAATCTCACCCCTGTGATTCACTTCCTACATGTCCAGAACAGTCCCTGGCTGGAGCCAAAGCTGATGAGTCAGAAACTCAATCCCACCCGTGTGTGGGGCAGGAGCCCAATCACTTGTAGGTCCACATTAGCAAGAAGTTGGGAGTCAAGAGCTGGAACTGAAGGGCTCCTGTGTGGAACGTGAGTATCCCAGCTGCTGGGCCAGGCACCAGCCTCTGACCTGAGAGTGTAGAGGGCCAGGCACCACAAGGGACTGTTTTTGTCTCTTTGGCCTCTGTTCTGGGACTGGCCCAAATTAAAGTCCACTCTCAGGTTATCATCCTTATCTGGCATTGTTTTTAAGTAAGGCTTTCCTAAAATACCTGAATAAATTTCCTGAATACCCTGACATCCCATATCAGAATACTGGTTTAAGTCCCGGCTGCTTCACTTCCCAATCAGCTCCCTGCTAATGTGCCTGGAAAGTTGGCTGAAATGCTTGGGCTCCTGCCACTTATGAAGGAGACCCAGTTGGAGTTCCAGGCTCCTGTCTTCAACCCGGTCCAGCCATGGCCAGTGCAGCCACTTAGGGAGTGAACTAGCAGATGGAACATCTCTTTCTCACCTGCTGTGCGTCTCTCTCTATTGTCAGTCTGCCTTTAAAAATGAAATAAATTGGGCCCAGCACGATAGCATAGTGGTTAAGATCCTCGCCTTGAACGTGCTGGGATCCCATATGGGTGCCAGTTCTAATCCCGGCAGCTCCACTTCCCATCCAGCTCCCTGCTTGTGGCCTGGGAAAGCAGTCGAGGATGACCCAAAGCTTTGGGACTCTGCATCCTCGTGGGAGTCCCAGGAGAGGTTCCTGGCTCCTGGCTTCAGATCAGCGCAGCACCAGCCAATGCGGCCACATGGGGAGTGAATCATCGGAAGGAAGATCTTCCTCTCTGTCTCTCCTCCTGTGTGTACATCTGCCTTTCCAATGAAATACATAAATCTTTTTAAAAATGAAATAAATCTTGTAGGTAGACAGGAAGGAAGGAAGGAGGGAAGGGAGGGAGAAAGAAAGAAAAAGAAAACCTGGGTTATTCTTTGATTGCTGTCCTGTTGTCTCCCCCTCTTCTCCCTCCCCTACTTGTGTCCCCTTCCAGGATGACCCTAGTGCACCCCACAAAATCCAGGAGGCACTCAAGTCCTGCCTGAAAGAGGAGGAGTCATTTAACATCCAGAACTCCACATCGCCCAAACTCGAGGGCGGCAAAGGTGACCAGGTGGACTTGGAGGTGAACTGTCTTCAGAATAATCTAACCTAAAAAAGATAGAGCGAGGGGAGAGAGGAAGCTGGGGCAGGGCGGCGGGGGTGGGGGGAATGGGGCAAGGGACCGATGGTGTTCTCTTGTACAGAGTCTATTTCTTGTAACCATTTGTTAAAACTCTTTCCTTTTTTTCTGGTTTCATGGCATGCATCGATTGTATTTTATACAGGAGGTGGGAGGGGGAGGGAAAACCCACATACTCAAAATAAGCAAAGAAATGGAACAGAATTGCATACGCTGGATTGTTTTTGTCTGTGCTGTCTGTACATGGCTCCTGCCGATGTGATTTCTAAACCTCTATGCTGTTATTCAACTGACTTTTTTTTTTTTGTATTTGACCCACCTTTTTTTGAAATACCAGTTTAAAACAAAACAAGTTCTTGAAATAAAACTTTTTAAAAAGCTACCATGTCCTCCCCATTGCCGCCAGTTGACACTGTCACCCTCGCATCCCCATAGCCCTTGTTTCCCCTAAAACATGCCCGTAGACATGTTAGGACCCTCAGAAATGATGTGTGAGCCGGGACTGGTGTGGCTGAATGTGTTGGCATTGTGTGTTCACCATGCCACCAGGCTGGGTTACCCCAGCGAGCAGCTTGTCCAGGCTTATGAGCGGCTGTTGGGACAACTTGCCATGACCCCACGTGGAGAGAGAGCAAGCCATTTTCCCTTCATGATGGAACTCTGATTTGTTACCACTTCATGTCACCTTAACTCGGCTCCTAACAGGCCCTGTCTCCAGCAGTCACCTTGAACTGTGGGGGTGAAGTTCAGTCCGAAACAGCTTCCTTCACCCATCACAAAAGACATGCTGTCCTTCCTTCGTACATATTAAATATGTAGGAATACTGGATGGATGACATGGATTCCCCATCCTCAAACAATTAACAGACAGCTTGAGAAGCCAACTTTGAAATGAGGGTGTGCACAGTCAAGGGAGTTGGACAGAGCCGGAGGGGCGGGCCGCTTGGGATGCTCCCATCTGATATCAGAGTGCCGGAGTTCAAATTCTCGCTCCATTTCTGATTGGAGTTTCCTGCTCATGCACGCCCTGGGAGGCAGCACGTGATGATTCAAATACTTGAGTCCCTGCTACCCTTATGGGAGCCCTTGATTCAGTTCTGAGGTCCTGGCTGTGGTCTGGCCCAGCCCCAGCTGTGGTCATTTATAGAATGATTCAAATGATACAAGATTTTTCTTGGAGGGGCCTGTGGAATGGGGATAGCACCAGCAGGGGCGTACAGGGACATGGGGTCTCACACCCAAGGAGGCAGAGCCAACCTTGAGAATTCCCCACATGCTTGATCGTGGGCTAGGGAGTGGAGGGAGGAGGGAGTCGTAAGTTAGCATGCTGGTGTGGTGTGCTGTAAGGAGTGGGATTCCAGGCCAGCACATGAGCCAGGAGCTTAGGTCCCTAGTGGGTAGGCAGAACTCCAGGCCAGCACACCACATCACTGAAAGACTGGGCTGGGAAACCCATGTACTCCTGGGAGCAGGGACTGAATTTCCTAGGGAAGGAGGTATGGGGATGTGTGGGAGGAAGGTCTGCTGAGGGTGTATGTTGCAAGTGAGGAATGATTTCTGGGGGATTTTCACTAACAAGGCCACTGCACTTGCAGGTAAGCGAGGGGAAAGAGATCAAGAGGTTTGGAGGAGGGAAACTAAAGAACCTTTCTGGGACAGATCAATGTACCCGCCCATGTGGGAGACCTGAGCTGGGTTAGTTAGCACTGATCACCACCCACTGGAATACACTAAAGCTAGGCTCGGGCTTTACCTCTTAGGGCTAGGTCACAGTACCCACCCCAATGGCATAACCAGGGATGTATCACGTTAGGTTGGACTATAACACTAACCAGCATGCAAGAGAACCAGGTCTGGGGGCAGATTCTGGTAGGGAATATGTGGGCCTACCTCTGTAGAACTGCAATTTCTGCTGGCTTTGTTAAGAACTGGACATGGTGACGGGCTGAGCTAGGCATGACCATGGAACCCTCCAATATACATGGATACTGGGGCTGGGAACAAGCCAGACTGGTCCAGACTGCAACACCTGCAGCTACACCCAAGAATAGGATGTGGGGAAGGCTGGGTCACAGTTTCCACCAGCTTACCCAAAGGCTGAGACAGAGGGCAGACTAAATTGGGTAAGGGCCTGGCACCTGCTGGTACATGTGAGATCTGGGTCTGGGAGTTTGTCCTGCTGGGGAAACTTAGGAAGCCCCTGGTGGGCTGTGGCTTCCTGTGAGCCTCTGGTAGATGACAACAACCCTCGGCGGCTTTTGGCTGGAAGTGACATCACTCCAGGTTTTGAGTGTGGCTCCATATGTTTGGCCTGGTCCTCACATGACCTTTGGATAGGGCTACAGTCACAGGTGTTGGGGGTCAGGAGTCCAGCGTATCTTTTATGTTGAGACACAATGCAATCCATTGCGACACCTTGACTTTTTTTTTTTTAAAGATTTATTTATTTTTATTAGAAAGGTGGATATACAGAGAGGAGGAGAGACAGAGAAGAAGATCTTCTGTCTGATGGTTCACTCCCCGAGTGACTGCCGTCCCCTCTGCCATCTAGTCTCCCAGTGTTCTGCCCACTGCAGCTTCCCCTCGGTTCATGCTTGTAAAGCGGTTCATCTCTCATCCCTTCACCTTTACCTCCCTGTGTTGTCCTGTTGTAGGCGAGCCCCTTGTAAAAAACATACAGATGGTATGTGTGGGGATAGCATTGCTTTAAAAAAAAAAAAAAGACCACCTTAATGCTGGTCCTCCAACATTTCCTATATCTGCTTTATTGGCCACATGTGGAGATACAGGGCCAACCATCTCTGTATCCTTGAGAAGCTCAGCTTTACAGTTACTGGTACATCTGGCTCTGCATCTCCATCTCACTCAGCACTTTCTCTACCATGGGCCTCATTTTCCTCTTTCTGGTCTTCTTCTCCATTGATTTCCTTCATTCCTATTTTTAATGTTTGGCCCCAAAACACCCTGCTGTGCTACACTGAGAATATATTGCTAAACCATCCCTTTGGACAATCTGTCTAAAACCTAAGTTTCATTCTTGCCTTCCTCACCATCACCCAGTTTACAAAATAAATGACTATTTTTAGCACTCTGTGTCTTTAGCACTCTCCAAATGCAAGATATTGTTCCTTTTAATTATTTTTTAAAGAGTTATTTATTTATTGGAAAGTCAGATATACAGAGAGGAAGAGAGACAGAGAGGAAGATCTTCCATCCAATGATTCACTCCCCAAGTGAGCGCAACGGCTGGTGCTATGCCGATCCGAAGCCAGGATCCAGGAACTTCCTCCAGGTCTCCCACATGGGTGCAGGGTCCCAAAGCTTTGAGCCGTCCTCGACTGCTTTCCCAGGCCACAAGCAGGGAGCTGGATGGGAAGTGGGGCCGCCGGGATCAGAACTGGCACCCATATGGGATCCCGGTACGTTCAAGGCGAGGACCTTAGCCGATAGGCCACCTTGCTAGGCCATGCCACCAGGCCCCTTTTAATTCGTTTAATAGCGTCTGTAAAATAACTCTGAAAAATTTTTTTCTGTGACTCCTGTCAATGCTGTCCAGTGGGGTAGACACTTGCTCCCTATGGCTGTTGAACATTTGAAATGAGCCTGATGTCCCCCAGGAGCTGGGTTTGTAATGTGTTTAATTGTGATTAATTTTATTTTTATGTTTTAAATTATGCTGAATTTTTGGGCCCAGTGCCATGGCCTAGCGGCTAAAGTCCTCGCGTTTAACGCACCAGGATCCCATATGGGCGCCGGTTCTAATCCCAGCAGCCCTGCTTCCTATCCAGCTCCCTGCTTGTGGCCTGGAAAAACAAAGACTGCCAAAACCCTTGGGACCCTGCACCCGTGTGAGAGACCTAGAAGAGCTCCTGGCTTCTGGCTTCGGATTGACGCAGCACCACCTGTTGTGGTCACTTGAGGAGTGAATCATCAGACGAAAGATCTTCTCTGTCTCTCCTCCTCTCTAAATAAATCTGACTTTGCAATACAAAGAAATAAAATCTTTGAAAAAAAAAAGAAAGAAAAAAAAGAGAAGAAAGGCAGATTCACAGAAGGAAAGACAGAGAGATATTCCATCCACCGGTTCACTGCCCAAGTGGCCACAACCCAGAGCTAAGCCAATCTGCATCCAGGAGCTTTGCCAGGGCTCCCTCATGGATGCAGAGGCCCAAGGATTTAAGCCATCTTCTGTTGCTCTCCTAGGCACACAGCAGAGAGCTGAATGGGAGCAGTTGAGACTTGAACTAGCATGCATATTGGTTGTGAGCGTTGCACAGTGACTTTACCCGCTGTACACAGTGTCGGCCCAGGGTCGCTTAGTACTTGAAGTGAAAAACACCACAATACTCGTGTTCTGTCCTTCCCCTAACCCCCGTCCCAGACCCCCCTGCGTCCTGCCTAGTGTTTGTTGCTGCTAGAAATATGTATATATATGTTTTAATTTAACACATCTCCTTTTGAAATTTGCCGGGTCCTCCTAAGTACTTCAGGAACATGAGCATCACTTCACCCTTAGAACTCCCTGGTGCGACAGATTCTGTGATGATCCCCACCTGCAGAGGGGGGAGACCCAGGCACATGGGTCAGGTGGGTCCCTTATGGTCAGATGATATAGTTGGAACTGGGATTCGAACCCAGGTCTTCTTGTAAAATCTGTGCCCGTAGCCACTCTGCCACCTCTCCGTGAGCTTTTCCTGATTAGTTTACTGGTTTTCTTCCTGATTTCTGGAGAACACAGGCCTTTGAGAGCTGGGAACCCCAGGGTGCTCAGTAGGCAGCAGGTTTTGTTGGACTGACAGATGAACAGGTGGGCAGAAGAATGGCAGATTCTGGTCTCCCCAAGCACAGGGTAGTTTCTTGCTTTATCCTTGGCTGCAAGCAAGAGAGGGGCTGAGGTTTCTCTAGAATGTAGGATGGTGGGAGCTGGCAGCTCCAGAGCAAGCCCATCTCTGGTTCCCTGTGACACCCCCTGT